AACATTAAAACTTTATACAGCAACACATCAATAAAAGATTTTAAAAGTTTATAATAAATTGCAATCACAAGAATAGGGTGGGTCCCAAAACATACATCTCAAGTGCCAAAGACCAGTCTCTCCAACATACAGCAACTCTGCAGGGATCAAACTCCACAGTTTAGGGGCTGCCACAGAGATCTCAAGCCACCTGCTCCCTGAGATTCGGAGGGTGGTGGAACTACCAAGTGAGTCCCCTGTGCTCATCTCTAACACCTGAAAGAATTCATAGGGAAGGAGGCAGTTTTTCAGCTATTTGGAACCTAAGTCATTCAGGGCTTTAAACACCAACATAAGCACCTTGAACTGGATCTGGAAACAGACTGGAACTGAGCCAAGATTTCTGTCCAAAGAAATTTCAGCTCTGAAATTTGGAAGGGTGGCTAAAAGGGTAATGTTACCATTCATCATCCCTGTTTTTACATTTATATCCCATCTTTCCTCCAAAGAACTTGAGATGGCATGCATAGTTCTCTCCCTCCCCATTTTATCTCCACAACAACCTTGTGAGGTAGATGAAGCTTGAGAGTGAGTGACTGGTCCAGGGTCACTCACTGAGCTTCATGGCCGAGTGAGGATTTGAACCCTGGTGTCCCAGGTCCTAGACCCACACCCTAACCACTACACCCTACTGGATTTCCCAGACTCCCTCCTTTACCTTTGAAAGTGTATGGCCATGTTTCATTTTAATTATCTGCCCCCCACCCAAAGAAAAAGAATACTGTCATCACCAGAGACAAGGATGAAGCTCTTCTCAGTAGACAGAGGCCTTCCGCAACCTGTGTGCATTTCTGTTTGGGGTGTGCGTTGTGTCTGGATGAATCCCATATCAAAGAACCAAAGTAGGGCTTGTCGAAAGTTGAAGTTGAGAGCTCTGAAGCAGGGACCTTCAAATCAATTCAGATGTTAAGAAACGACAAACAGCATGTCTGCAAAAATTGAAATGTTCCTTGCCATATAAGGAAAATTCCGGGGGGAGGGGAGCTCTTTTTTGTCTGACAAGTCTAGCTTCTCATCATTGGGATGGCCTTACCAGGTCTCTCCAATCTCAGCACTTTCAAGAAAGAGATGTGGAAGTAATTTTTATCACCTTGTTCTTCTCTGTTCCATCCTCTAGTGGTGCTTGCTTGGAAAACACTGGGGATAGCTACATTTCCACTTCTGTCAAATCAGCTATGAACTTAATGCAATATTCAACTACATTTTTGCACAAGTGCAAGGGTTAGTGCTAGTGCAAAAGGATTCCCTCCCTATCCTTCTCCTCCAACCACAAACCCCACTCTATCCCTAAATCTGCTCTGGAGGGTTGGGGGGAGCCACAAAACAAATGTAGAGGACACATGGGAGGAGAAGGAGAGAACATTCTACCCAGCAAGGAGAAATTCTTGCACTAATGATGGAACCTTAGCTTTAGTGCTGTGTTACTTCTGTGACTTCTGCTGCAAGCTGAGCAGAACACAAGCCTGAAGCTGTTTTCCATGGGTAGGCAAACTAAGGCCCGGGGGCCGGATCCAGCCCAATCGCCTTCTAAATCCAGCCCGTATACAGTCCGGGAATCAGTGTGTTTTTACATGAGTAGAATGTGTCCTTTTATTTAAAAGGCATCTCTGGGTTATTTGTGGGGCCTGCCTGGTGTTTTTACATGAGTAGAATGTGTGCTTTTATTCAAAATGCACCTCTGGGTTATTTGTGGGGCATAGGAATTCCTTCATATATTTTTTTTCAAAATATAGCCCGGCCCCTCACAAGGTCTGAGGGACAGTGGACCGGCCCCCTGCTGGAAAAGTTTGCTGACCCCTGCTGTTTTTGTTTTATTTCCCACAACCCTATAGCCCATGCACAAAATCTTTTGAAATTTTGCTTTCCTAGGAGTATCTTTACAATGTAAAGGTAAAGGTAAAAGTAAAGGTAAAGGACCCCTGACAGTTAAGTCCAGTCACAGACAACTCTGGGGTTGCAGCGCTCATCTCGCTTTACAGGCCGAGGCAGCTGGTGTTTGTCCGCAGTTTTTCCAGGTCATGTGGCCAGCATGACTAAACCATTTCTGGCGCAACAGAACACAGAAACCAGACCTTCTGATTGGCAAGCTCAAGAGGCTCAGTGGTTTAGACCACAGCGCCACCCGTGTCCCCTCTACAATGTAGATCATTATTATTTTTTAAGCATTTGTCCCCAAAACCATAGGGAGGGAGGTTTCCCCTTCTAAATCAGTCTTAGAGGCACCTAGCACAAAAACTGCTTTCTTAGCTGGGGGTGCCTCTCTGACCTGCTATTGTCATACAAATAGTCCACAAAATAATAGAGATTAAGCAAATCTGTTTTTACCCACTCCAAAACTGCAGTTACATGAAAACTACTGTAACTATCCTCATGAAATGTGAAAGCATACATCTTGCTTGCAAATTTCATTCAATTCTGCCAAAAAAATGTGCATAATCCATCCTTTTTTAAAAGGTGGCCGGCATCACAACAACAAAACCCCTAGGCTTAATACGTCTGTAATTTGGCATGACATGTCCACTCAGGAGGGCCTACTATGCCTGCAAAATTCATCTGCTTCTGTCAAAAAGCTGTAACCATTTTAAGAATTGCTTCATAATAGCAAATGAGACACAAAGTTTCATTTTTTTCCAAAATGCACTTCTGGACTGACCTGAATCGGCAGCCTCTGAAGCGCCTTGGACCCAATCGGGCTGTTTTTTTGAAGTGCTGAATCAGGGCCTGAACTGAATCTTGTGCTTGGTACACACCCCTGGTTTCTGCAGCTCTTGAAGAACCAATTAATTCTTTGCATTACACAGAACAGCTAATTCAAGGATTCATGAAATGTGCGTGCCCCAAGGTCCATTCTAGCACATCAAGAAGTGCCATCTGGCCTCAGGTTTGTCAATATAGGGGCAGGAGAGGTTGACTACAGGCCATTTTGGCCTTATGCTTTCTGAAGTGATGAACCTGTCACCTAAGCTGCAATAGAACAGGACCACAAGTTGCTTTAAAGCAGGGGTCGGCAACCTGCGGCCCATGGGCCACAAGCAGCCCACGGGCTGCCCCTGAACCGAGCTGCCTGCTCGGTGAATCCCCACGCACTGTTCTAAACCAGCACAGCACAGAGCAGGGACTCGCTCCGTGGGCCGGAAATCGCGTCTGTGCAGATGCGATCCGGCCCACGGAGCGATCTTCACGGGAGTGAACCGGCCCAGACGAGGTAAACCTTGAAGACTGAAACACTAGTCCTGCTAGTCCTGCTCAGAGTAGAGCCATTTCTATTACTGAACATGACTTAGGTTCATTAATTTCAATGGGTCTACTCGTGAATAAAATGTTGTTGCTTGGCTCTGAACTGCAGAGAGGTGGAGTTTGTGAAGGGATTTTGGAAGTTATAGTGTACAAGAGGCCCTTTCAGATAGTGGGGGTTTTTTAGAAGATAACCACTGACATGTCAACCAAAACTAGCAACTTCTGAAGATTCACCCAGTGAAGTATTCAGTCTTGTAATCCAATTCAGGAAGCCATTCATCCCTCTGAAAGCTTAAATTTAATCAATGAGTACAGAACAAGGTGACAATGTTAAATAATATATCCAACTTCAGAATGTGCCCCACATTTGCTGCCCTTTTGTCTTTCTGCTTATCTGTATAATTCTGCTTGAGTGCCTGGATCTTTCAGAAGTTCAAAACAGGCAATATTCAGAACTATTGATTGTCTTCCCGTGATTCAACATAAAGTACAAAAAAGCACATAATGAGGCTAATGAGCATAGCACCCAGCTTTCTGAGTACGTAGCCTTTAGAGAAAAAAAACTCTCACCTCTTATTAAGGCTTTAATTAAGGCTTGATGGTCACCCTGAGTATTGCTATTGCAGGGTGTATTATTATTTATTTGAGTCATACGATTTCTCCCCTTTGTATTACCAATGAAAGAATTGTGCAAAGGAAAGAAAGAAAAATGTAGAAATCTTGAAGTACATAATTTGGAACGGTCTCCTTTGGGAGGCCTGCTTCATTAATTCTTTTTTTAAATGTAAAAAAAAATTATAAACGTATTATTAAAACAATAAAACCTCTCAAGCAGTTTATAATAAAAATTCCCAACATTCAACAAATTATCTAGCAACTGGATAAAAAGAAAACAGAAGTGCATATCTCAAATAAAAAAGAAACTGAGCAATGTATAAATTAAAAAAAGTTAAGAGAAAGAGCTTTTAAAAGGCATTTACAGAGAATAACTGTCTCCACCTCATGAACGACCTGAGAGAAGGCATTCCAGAGAGTGCATGCTGTTAAGGTAAGGTTACCATATTTTTTTCAATGAATCCTGGGAGTTTTCAACTTTTGTATGGGGTTTTGTATGGGGACTGATGTGTAAATCCAGGGACTGTCCCCGGGAAACAGGGACGTCTGGTAACCTTATGTTAAGGCCCACTAAGTGACAAACTTGCTGGCCGTGGAATGGCCAGCAAGATCTCTCCAAATCTTATTAGGCTTGGCTTGTACCAAGAAAGGTGGTTCACAAAGTATCCTGCTTTGCAACTTCACCAACCCATTTTCCAATGAGCAGTACTTCGATTCTTTCAAGAAACCTTTGGGCCTCATCTCTTGGTGACTCAGTGACTTTGTGGCTGTTGAACTGTTGGTAATTATATGTTTGTTTTTGCTTGTGGAGCCTGTGTGTTTCTGTGTGTGTGGTTTTTTTAATTTGTTTTTAAAGAAATTACAGCTGCATGTGGGAGTAGGGGGGGTAACACAATGGCAAAGTTAAAGTAGTTTAATAAGTAAGTCTGAAAAATAAATGTATTCACTTCACGGCTTTTCTTGACAGATGATTTTGATTAAGTTGCAGAGTACACATGACAATACCAGTGGATGTATTTACAACAAATTCATTCTCCAAAACAGCTTCCCACTAGTCCATAATAAAACAAATTCTTAACAAGTGATGCAGATAATTAACTTAAGAGGTTCCACAACTTAGTAAGCATTAATAGGCACAACAATCCAATATTTCTTAATTCCACAGCTTTATTTGTTTTTTCTCTATAAAGTATGATACCAGAGGACAAAGCAACATGGAAATTTACACACTTTGTATCCGGGTCTTTGTAAGCTCCTTGAAAGGGAAAACAGCTTTTAGATACAAGTTCAGATGCCCATAACGGAGCGTCAACAATATTCTGGACACCACACAGTACATAAAAATAAAAAGACAACCCCAGCTCTACAGAGTTCACATACAGAGAGAGAGAAAGTGAGGGACAAACCCAGTTGCATCAGAATTCCAGGGGTGGGAATGAAATTTTGTTAAGCTAATATATACAGCACAAAGACACTGAGTGGACCACATTCGGACAGAACAAGCTTCTTTGCAGGTTTGTGGGGAGCAGAATAGGAGGGAAGATCTGAAAAAAGTGGCTCTTAATGCACATCCAGGGCAAGGAAGACCCTTATTCTGTGTAAAAACAATAAAATGCTGTCATTTACATATGTTTTAAAAAGAGGCGAAGGAACAAGGTATTCAAAAAACAACAATAACAACCCAATGGTCTAAAACCAAACCCACGCATTGAAACCACATCACTGTAAAATATATGTTATGTGAAAATAAATATTTACTTATCTGAAACTATATTGCTGATGCAACAAAGGGTCTTTTTGTGGAAAGGCAGCAACTGCAGTTTAACCAGTGCATGCTACAAAGACCACACTTCACCCTTGAGGAAGGTAGTCTGCTAAGTTCACCATGTATCCTATACACTTTTTTTTTTCCAGGGTTCATGGAAGCACAATGGCGTTCACTGACCTAAAGGCAGCACCATCAGATAGATTTCACTAGCTCACATAGCAACAGGAACATTTCCTGAAAACAGGTCAGTTCTACAAATTGCAAGCTGGGAACTTAAAACTTATTGCACTCGTTCTAATCAGATATTACCTCTATTCAGGATGGAAGCAAGGAAAATTTGCACTCAAGGAAAGGGATTAAGAAGCATAAGGAGATGAGAAGACCCAACTTCTCCTCATAGATCATCTTTCAATCTTATACTGTAGTGACATCAGAAGCAGAATAAGGAATGGTGTGGGTTTTTTGTCTGGAAATAACAGGAAGTATCTTCAGGACACTCGGTGGAGGTCTAAGTGGCCCTGCCTCTGTCCCACTTCCTGGTGAAAGGCACCTCTTCAACTTCCTCCTCTGCAGTCTGGAGAACAAAAGAGGACTTCCTCTCAAGATAGTCCTCCTGTGTCTATCTAATGATGGTACTCCTCACTTGTGTGTAGTCAACACTTTTTTTCTACAGATTCCCCCTTCCACCACCCCATTTATCTTGTTATATGTTACTTAGATGGCTTCCAGGCTGCAAAGAGGTTTATACTTTTGTAAAATATATAACTGCCAACTGTCTGATTGGTGGTGGCAATCATGACTCTCACTCCAAAGCAAGATTTGCAAGACCACGGATTCAGCAAGGCAGTTTTTCAACATCCACAGGATCAAAAAAAGTTAGTAAGACAACCAGATTATTTCTACAAGAGGCTGCTCCTCAAGTTATTTCTCATTCTGAAACAAAAAGGAAAGCAACTTGCATCCAACCTTGCTTGCGAACGTAATGTACATCCTGCCCAATTAAACTCCTCTCTAAAAGAGCTTAAACTTTGGGGTGGGTGGGAAACTTTGGTGCACATTAACACATCATGTTTATGGAAACAGGTTCAGCTTGAAAGCAAGTCATGAAAAAAAATGGGAAGGAGGAAAGAATAGTATTAGAAACCTATTGCTTGACAGCAAAAAAAAGGAAAATCACAGCAGTTAGGCACAATCACAGTTTCAAGGTTTTCATTGCAACCCATTAAGGTATTTCAAGGCTTTGCTTGTGGTCCCAAATCTGCCTACAATTTGCAGGCAGGTCTAGGATGACCAACAGCTTTCACAGTGGTCTAAAGGATCCTGAGCGCCACCTCCTCATTCTGAGGGTGTCGTTTCCCCCCCACCCTCCCCCTTCCTCCCCAAGGGGTTCAAGTGTTGCTATCCACATATTGCGAAATTCCCTACAATTTTGTTATGTCTTCTTTTGTACTGTTAGTTTCAAACTACCTAGTTTAAAAGGAGCAAAATTGCCCTGGGGAACAGGAGCGGTCATCACATTTAAGACTGTAGGATAAAAAAATATCCACAATGCAAGCTCTACTTAAGTGTTACAATGTATTGGTCATGCAAAAATCCCTACAGGATCCTGGCAGGCAGGCATTTCAACAGTTATAGTTGATGTGGGGTCAGGTTGCTAATCAACTAATTGTTGGATAGACAGTAGCACAGTTTCAAATTGGCGGCAGGTTCTGCGTCTCACGCTGAAAAGTTTGACAGCCGCAGCGAGTCAGTGATCGTCCACTTTAGTTCTTTTGGCTTTCAGGGAAAGGTGCTGCAAAGAAACAAAAGCATCGTTTTTGGTTTTCTTAAAACTCATAAATGCTCCAAGCAATATACTTTTCTATTCCAAATTACATCAGTCTCCGTGTTAGCCACAAATTCCGTCCTGCATTAGGAACTCTACGCCAACTAGAATGTCATTTTGCAATAGCCGAGAAAGCACATCAAGCCCGCCAGCATTGCCAGTATAGGAATCAGTGCTATTTAAAAAGCCATAGACGACTTCGCTGCCTGGTGCTTAAACAAAAACACCCCTGCTCACCTGCAACATTGCTGAGTTTTGTAATAACTTGTCTTAAGGAAAACATCTGCTATATTGTTATCTACCATAACAGTATTAATGCTGTCAGGGTAATGCCTTTATTTATTGCAAAGACAACAGGTTATCACACCAACAGCAACTCTAGCATTATAGAGGCACCCAACCAGTCTTTCCAAGAAGAGGGTTTCTGCCTTCCAGTGCATGCTTGTGGTGTGGGATCAAGCTATTTACAAGAGTTCTCTTATTCAAGGCATAGGCAAACTCGGGCCTCCAGATGTTTGGGGACTACAACTCCCATCATCCCTAGCTAACAGGACCAGTGGCCCAAGATGATGGGAATTGTAGTCCCAAAACATCTGGAGGGCCAAGTTTACCTATGCCTGTCTTATTCCTTCTCTTCTCTCTTTGTCTCCAGAAGCATACTATTACCCAACCTCCAGCATTTAGCACTAGCAGGTACGCCTTGGGGTTATTCTGCATTTTACATGGAGAAATGTGGCTTCTGCCATCTTATGGTTGCTCCAACACTACTCTATAAGGTATAAAATGCTGGATCATGCCTGTTACACAGACCTGAGTGCATTTACACAACATGGTAGCAATAACTGCCTTGATATTGTGCCCAAATCACTTCTGCCAAAAAAAAACCCCTTATACTACCAGAGTAGCGTGGGATACAACAACAATGTGGCACCAATCACACTGCTGCAGGTAACAGGTAAAGACAGCTTTAAAGTCACTTTGCGCATTCTTAGAAGTGGTAAAAAGTAGGTATGTGAGTTACTCACATTTCTACTTTTCAAGCTTCAAAATAGGAAGCTGCATCCCAATACGGTAGGAACTCAGGATACCTTAGGGAACACCTCCACGCAACAATTTCTACCTGAGCTCTCATATCTGGAGATGCCACTAAGTCTCACAATTTAGAGATTTTGCATCAAATGGTTCACAGAGTCAGGTATCCTTAGTTCCTGCATTGTGGAACAGCCTCCTAGTTTCTGCTGTTGACTGCGTTATGTTCAAAGATGGAAGCTTTTCTTTAAAAAAAGAAAAAGAAGAAGTTGTCCTGCTGATACGACTATTATTTTTCATTCTGGACAAAAACAGTCAAAAATAGATTGCCCCCATCTCCCAAAACACTGGGTTGCATCCATCAAGTGATATTTAGAGTAGATACAGTGAAAACGACGGACTTAAGTTAACCATTTCCATTAACTTAAATGAATCTACTCTGTATATAACTAACATTGAACAAATATTCAATTTAACAAATTTCCATATATTTGTGTAATTCTGACCAATCACACATAACTGATATTATTTTTAAATTGTGCCAGCCTTTTCACTGAGAAGTCTCTGCCAGAATTTCTAGTCATACAAGGAGGTACAACATGCCTATGGAGTCATATAATATGAAGCTATGATAATTATGAGCAATTACTATAGAAATTGCCAGTTACTTTTGATTAAGTAATGGAATAATGATTTGCATAAATGCTGTGTAGTTAAAGGCACCACTTTATATGTGACACAGGGAGGCACAATATTGGAATATTTTAGTGCTATCAACTCACTTAATTATAGATACTGGATTCCTAGAAGATTTAATATAATTGTGGTGTTGGCTCATTTCCTTCTCAAACCATACCTGAAACACTTTTGCTAAGTGGCCAAAACCACTTCCAGAACTTTTTTATGTTCTGCAGCACAATCGATTTGAATGCATTACAGGACACAAAGCAGACAATATCAATAATTTCAGGATGGGTTCACACACTGCCCAAGCATACAGGTTTTGTGTACTGGGTTGCATATGGTTACTGTAGTGCCGTATAACACTGAAAATGCAAGGAGCAGATATTCGTGTGAAACTGATTTTTCTAGATCCATTATCACTTAGCTTTCAGGCCACTGTTCTGAACAGAAAGTGCTCTGGTAGATTATACCGAGAACTCAACTGAGGGAGCACAATCCTTTTCGTACTGCTAGACCTCTCAAAGCCTTTGATACAATTGATCATCAAACTCTTCCAGACCAGTTGGAGGCACTGTATTGCGATAGTTGTGGTGCACAAACTGGTCGGAGCTTTAGGCAATAGCTACACTACAACTTGGACTACTTACCCCATGAGGCACTGCTAGAAGTGATTTTTGTGATTTTTAAGTTAATTTATCTGCATAATAGTGATATAAAGTAATCTTCATCTGGAACAGAGTTTTATTAATTATTGGTAACTGTCAAACAATTAAATAAAGACAAGCAAAGCTGGGGTGGTGGGGAGAGGGGATATACGTATGCAAACCCATTTTGCAAGCACAGGTAAAAGCATAGAATAACAAGAGCTGCCAATACGGCAATGGTACCGTTTGGAGGCTATGCCGAGTCCGTACCGTTCCTTGCTGGTAAAAGTGAGGGGCCAGTTCCAATAGCCAAGCAGATTCAATTGCTGTAACGTCTCGCATGTAATACTTGGAGGTCTGCATGACTTCATTGTAGACAACCCTAAAAATACAGCAAGAAAAGGCACATCCACTAAGAGAACATTTGAATACATTTCCCCTTAATATTGCATTGGAAAGGTTTCAACATCTAGACACCAAGCCTTAATTCAAAAGTCACTGGGTGGTATTCAACTAAGTTTCACCGAGAACAGACCTGACTTAGCCATGTCCATTAATTTCAATGGGTTTACTATGTATAAAATATGAATACCACCCACTATCTTTATGCATGTTCCCACCTGAATTCCCTATATAAAAGATCCCTCTCTATGTTGCCTACTTTCTCCTTATGACTTGATGTGGATTGGGTTACTAGTGAGCCTGGAATGTCATTCCCAATGGTTGGAAAACCATCTAATGCAAGTGTACATTTTTATACCGCAATCAAAACACAAAGGCATCACTACCGGTTATTGCTCATCGCATCATCCTTCAAAATTGGAGGATATGCATAAGATATGCTGAATTTCACATGCACGCCTTTGTAAAGGCATTACAAACCTCCCCACTCTCATGGAAGCAAATGTTTACACCCTCTCAGATCACAAGCTTCTTGATCCTGCTGTTTGGGAGGGGGAAACCAGCTACTTGGCTTCCCAGTCATGCAACAACTTCTACAACTTGTTGCTGGTAGTGCTCCATCTACCTTTATCGCTTTTTCTCGATGTAAGTGTAGTGTGGAATGAAGAGTACAGCGCTCATTCTGAAGCCACAATCTACCAGATGGGCTGTATTCTGTGAAAGAAGCAACTCTCAACGATGTAGAGTGTCAAGCTTAACCAGCACACTAATGAAAACCTTTTCAACGTACCAACGAGGAGGCTTCTCTGCATACAGCACTGAGGTGGGGTGTATATAAAGTTCATGGTCATCACGAATAGTCCTTGAAAGAACAACAATTATTTTAGACTTATAATATTTATTCATTACACAGCAATGGGACTGTGCCTAAAAATACACCTTTCCCCCCCCTCAGTTATAAGCCTGATCGTAGATAAGCAAAACTATCAAAGGATGCTGAAAAGTGACCTGGAAGCTTGTTTATTTATTGGTGCCTTTGAAATACCTTTCCTTACCTCTTATTCGCCTGAAATATTGCTCAGTCCACTTAGTGGACTGCTTCAAGTTTTTTTCCAGTCTCTTCTAAGCTGTTGAAGCTCAACTAAGCCAGGAGACAGAATGCCAATTTGTTTCAACCTGACGTATTACCAGCTGATGGTACTGACAAGGAAGCATCATTATTTTTTTATGGCTACTGGCTTTCCAATGAACCCTTTGTAAGGATTTAAAGACAATTCTGATCTATATGGCCCCACTATGTTCCCTTTTATCTTCCCCTTACTCTCAGAGGCCTGAACTACAGTAATTATCACTAGTAAAGCCAGGGCAGTGTTTTTTTTCATTTTGGGATGCTTATCACAACAAACCTCACATTTACCTGTATGCTCCGGTAGAGTGAAATCTGGCTGCATTAGCAAAGAATCCAGAAACTATACACCTTAGAACAGGGTCTGGATCTCCTAAAAGGAGGAAATGGACCAGTCATTCCACAAAGCTCATCAGATAACACCAGCTTTCTCCAACATTGTGTGCTTCAAATGTTTTGGACTACAACTCACATCAACTCCAGCCAGTGTGGCCAATGGTCAAGAGCAAATTAAGTGCCTAGTCAAGTGATCGCAAATGAGCAGGGGGGAAAGTGGAACTCTGAAGGAATTTTTAAAATTTCACTTAGTTTAGTACTCATTATTTGGGATATTAAGCATCACATAGCTGTTTTATCTCTTTTGAAGCTCAATAGATGATTGAATTGTTATCACAACCAGATAAAATAGGTGGAGCTGATCATTTATCTGTGGAAATCACTTTCTGAGATGTGACAGATCTCGGACATCTTCTGGAAGGACCAAACTAAATTTTGCAGGGCAAACACATGTAACACATTGTCTGGGGTTTTTTTTAAAAAAGTTTGAACAAAAACCAGCTGTAGGAGGCTGACATTTTGAGAATAGAATGGTAGGGGATGCTTAACCTTTCTCTACTGCTGGTTTTCTGTTCAACACCACTCCCTCCCCCCAGCTGCTCTTCCACTTGCAAAGGGAAATAATGCAGGCACATATCCTTTCTACCTAGGTGAAAAAGGAGCTGAGGGAGTGAAGGGGCGGGCGGGGGGGAGCCAGATGAAAAGTCGCTAAGCTCCCATCCCTTCTTGTGTGTGTGTGTGTGTGTGTGTGTGTTCAGCAGCAATTCATCTGCTGAAATTGACATCTGCTTTCCATTAAAACAACAAAAATCACTACATGCATCTGCCCTAAGCTTTTCCTTACTATGGCAACTGTTTAACAAAAAGAGGAGGAGGGAAGCATTCTTCCAGACCTGTTTCGGGGTTTTTTGTTTTTTGTTTTTACATACATAGGGCGGTATGCAAGTTTTACTCAGAGCACACTAAGTCATGTTAATTAATTTCAATGAGTTTCCTCTGAGTAAAACGTAGTTGAATATCACCTACAATTTCAGTAGTTTTAACATACACTGAACTTCAAGTACTATGGCGGGTAACATTTTATTGTATTGTACTACAGAACTGGGTTTTTGTTAGCTATCCTGATAACTTAATTGAAGGGTGAAGAATAAATCTTAATAACAATTTCCCTGTGATTACATTTATCATGTATGCCCTTTATGTTTACAATCACACACACCTGGATCCAAGGTATGTACGCATTTAACTTATGCCGAGCATGCTTCTGATTATTGTGTTCTCTTTAATAAGCACCTTCCTGCTTAAGCAATTTTTCTGGTTAGGTGTGTTCACTTCTGTTTCCACAATACACTATACTGTTGCCTGGCTCCCCCCGCCCCCAATGCAACATATAATCTAGTCAAACATAAATAGACTTTGCAAGGAAGAGGGAAGTCTCAGATGCCAAAAGGGCTGTCTGCAAAGCTAATAAAGTCTATTCCAGTTTCCAGAACTCATGGGTTTAAATAAATATTCAAGCTTGTTATACAAAGACTGAAATGAATGTAAAAGTGAGGAATAGGTGCTCTACACTTAGTACATTAGAAAGCTTTTACAGTAGTAAAAACACAATATACATCACTGAAGCAGTGTAAAGCAAATGGATAAAAAATATCATGCTAAAAAAAGCAAGAGTGGAATCCAACGGTGACTGTCCACTGACGGAAAACTTTCATTCAGAAAAACAGGAGGCCGTAATTTTTGGTGGCACCCCTACCCATCACTGCAGTCCCCTATGCCACACTAAATCTGCTCTGGAAGGTCCCTCAACTATCTGGAGCAGATTTAGAGTGGGAATGGGCTAAAGGAAGATTGGGAGACCACCACAAATTGCCACATTCTGTTAATGCATTCTCTTCCATCAGCAGACAGCCACCACTGGATTAACGCACAATGGAAAGAAACCAATGCGACAAATGTTGTGAAGCTCCCATGCAGCTCACAGTTGGCAATTCTGGGGTTTTTTTGTACTAAACAGAGTATAGGCAATAAATAAGAAATTGCCAAGATCTCTTCTCTCTTGCCTTCACTGGACTTTTTTGGTACTTTGAACTTGACAAGAAGTTTTTTCAGCTGCTCTCTCACAGTTGTGGCTCGGACAAGACCTTTATAATTCAGAAAGTGATCTTGACACCACTGGGAACTCTTGTTGTGCTGCAAAGAAAAAGGAACAGCTGAACTGCCTTAAAAAGCTTGCTTTATAAAGGTGTTAGCTCTGACTTTATCTCCAGGTTTCTTTTCCTAATATTATGTGAGTGGGGATGCATGCACCAGCCAAAAAACAGTTTGCAAAAGATCAGTCTAAAATCCTACAACTCTCCTGGCAAGAACAGGTCATGCTGAAGGCCGGAATCTGGAAAGGAGACTCTGGTACTTAGCTACTCCTACATTTCAAACATATCAGTTGATCCTGGGAAAATCTCATGTTAGGAATGTTAAGAAGAGCCTGGCTGAATCAGATAAAAGACACATCTAGGCCAGTAGGTTATTCTCACCGTGACCAACAAGATGCCTATAGGAAGGCCAGAAATAGGAGCTGAAAAGAACTTTTCCCACTTATGATCTGCAACAACTGGTGTTCAGGAGCAAACTGCCTCCAATATCAGAGGCAGCACCATCATAATGGCTAGTAGCCATTGATAGCCTTGCCCTCTGTGAATTTGTCTTAACAGCATTTAAAGTCGTCCAATTTAGTGGCCATTACCACATCTGGTGGTAGCAAATCCCAGAGTTTAAATATGTTCTGTGTGGGCATAGAAGATTCAGGACAGACAAAAGTTAACTAATATTCAGTTTCACTGGATGACCCCGTGTTCCAATGTTGTGAGGAATTATGTGTGCCACTATCAAATTTCTTTGCATTCTGAATCTAAATTTTAGTTGACAAAGCCATTATAGATGAGGGAATTCTGCAGTCAAAGCATTTTCATAATTTTTTTACACTCCAAGTATAAGCAAACATGATGGTAAACAAATATTCTACAAGGTCATGGGTTGGCAGAGGACATGGTCTGTGTGAAACTTGAGAGCCTCAGCATTTGTTTTAAATATCACAACTTACATACAAGTTCCTAGTCTTCACTGCAAAATAAACTTCAGAATGTATTGTCATAATATGCAGGGCATGCTGTGGATCTCTGAATTCAAAGAATGGATGAATGGAGCTTTTGGTAATGTACTCTAATGCTTTAAATATATCTAATACCAGTGGGGCTGTGATTTTACACACCAGGACAAACCTAGCTCGATTTAGATGAATATATTCTCCGATCAAACTAAGTGGAGCTTTAGGGCTCTGTACAACTCCCTGCCTACATCAAAACCAGAACTGACTTTGCTTAGCTCACAACACACATCTGATCCTGTTAATTACTATGATGGACGTCCCCAAACTTCTAACATCCACAACAACTGGATTCAAGGCCGGCAAAAATCTCGTACCTCCTTTTGAGCTTACTTACTTTTATAAAGGCTTCATACGCATTAAGCATAGTGAGATGGTCGCCTTCCTCCACAGCAAATTTTCTGTGTTCTCTGATCTGAAAAGGAGGAACATTTTGGAAAAGTGGCAACATCAAAACCCCACAGACATCCTTTAGACAAAAACCACATTCAGCAATATCAATAGGACTCCATTTGTGAACAAATTTGAGAACAGAAGCCTCAACCTTTACAATTTTCAGTGCATCTACCATCACCGCTTATTCCTTTCCGCATTTAGTACTTACAATTTCTTCTATGAATAACATTATTTTTGTTAAAAGCATTTTTAAGGGAAATAGCACACATACCCAGTATTTAAAACTACTATGTATTTCTAATAAATCTTTGGAGAAAAGTTAAACATACTGTAAGATTCTCATGCTCACCACTTGCCACTAGAAGGTACGCACAAATAAATGTAATGCAATGTTTTCAACTTAGACATAATTTGTATGTCTGTCCAACATTTCTTTTCAGTGGAATAATCTCTTTAGCTATTCAATCATTCATTTTCCAACCTCTCAGAAAAAGTTGAAATGAGTATTTCATTCCTTTCCCCACAACCTGAAAGCAAGCAGCTCACTCAAAAAAATATTATATTGCAGCTTTCCACTTCTTGCAAAATATGCCCAAGGTGGTTAACAGCAACAAAGATTAAATAACAATCATAATTAAAATGGAAAGCAAGAAGCATCATATGAAAACAACAAAACAGAACAGAACAGAAAGAGCCAGAAATAATGAGAGCCAAGGCAACAGAACTGCTGGAACAACATTTTTTCAGTTTGCATTGCAACACCAGTTAAGCAGCGAGGGCAAACAGATTTCCTGGGCAGTGAGTTCCAGTGGCTGAGCACCAATGTAAGACAGCTGAGTTCAGAAAGGGCACTTACAGCTTGTGTCTTTTGGTTTGGAGGAATCATAAAGATATTCTGGATCTGCATCATGGCTGCAATGCTCAGGATCTCCTGGGAGCAGCCAAAATTCCCTGCAAAATGAGTTTAGGGGAGAAGGAACTTTACTTTTACACTGACAACACAAAGCACATTGAGAAAAAAATGTCTTCCTCACCTCACACATGCTGGATAAAAAATAGCTATAACAGCTCTCACAGAACTATATGACAGGAAACACTATGGGTTATATAAAGTGGAGGCTCCATCTAAGAGAAGTGCTTCTGCAGGGCAGGGCACCCAGTTTTCACCAATCCCTCTAACTTAGTACAATCCCTCTTCCCAACAACAAAAAGGCTTCTCTAAAGCCTTGGTGACTCCCTGGAACTGTATGGGATATAGCATAGAGGGCCGCAATGGGTTCGAGAGATTGATGGAAACGGGGTGCCTCACTTTGTGCAAGTGGGAAAACTTTTGCTAGCCAGGTGCTATCCTTGGATACAATCCTAATATTTTGCTTCTGCTATGTAGTGGAGAACAGAAACTCTAAATGTCATTTCAAAATGCTTGTTGAAGCAGCTATTTTCTAGGTTAGAACATGCGGTAAACAGCCCTGGCAGTATATAAATTTAATTAAATAATAATAACAATAACATAGTGATAGCAGGCCAAATACCAGAACAGCAGCTGTTGATGGACTACATTTATTTAACACACATGTTCAGTTCTCAATCAAGTTGAGGCAGGGAGCGCAGGACGTCTGCTCACCACTAGCAACCAGACAGAAGATAATCCAACTAAAATCCCATATTGCTTGAGATTCTGGCAGCAATCTAATACCATCTACTGTGGCGTTGCCTGTTGTTGCTCCAGAGCCATGCAGTGGATTAAAGGCTTCCAGCTCAATGTAAAACCTAGGTATGCAAACTACTTTCTTCACTATTCTCTGTTGCATCCGGCATTCAAAGACTCATTTGTTCACATTATGGTATCCAGCTCGAACAACAAATAATAAGTTTACAGCAACAAAAACAAACACAATAGAGGTGGATTTATTTATGGCACTTGTATGCCACGTACCACAACATAGAAGTCACTGGGAGACTTACAGCAAATTAATTAAGCTGGACTAACGATACACAAGCTGATTTACAGTTGCATGACACTGGCATTACCTGATTCTAGGAGCATCTTTGCAAACATGGGGTTCAAAGGAAACTCAGCTATCCTGATTCCAAGAGGTTCCGTGAGGCGGCAATATTTATCAAGCCCTGCAGGAAAAACAGCAGCAATATAAAATGCAAATACATACTGATGACTCAACACAGGGTTATAAAGTATTTCAAAACAAATTAATTATAGGCATGACTCTCTCCACAGAGAGGTACTGTGATACTGCATGTACTATTCTGCGGAACTAAAATTCTAGCTAAAATTTATTCCTGCGCCTAAAAAGCAGAAACTGTGAGCTGCTGGGAGAATCAGAGACAAGCCATTCTGCAGCATGCAAGATGGGTTTCTTGGGCACTCCATCGGATTATAGACAAGCTGCTGTTTATTAACTCCACCAGTAAGCCAAAAGCAGCAGCCTGAATACCACTGCAGTGCTGACTTCATCCATGAGGCAAAGCAGAAGCATTTTTATTTTACTACATTTAAGCCCACCCTTCTTCTACCTTGGAGCTAAAGGTGGTAAACACGGTATTCCCATGATGGCTCCCATTCAGCTACTGACCAGACCCATATCTTCCCAGCTGCCGCAAGGTAGCTGCCTCACATGGTCTTTGATCTTGTAGCGGCACATATATAACACACCCTTACTTCTTTTACTGTAGGATTTAATTATGCATGCTTTGCAAATAGATTTGATAGCAAACTCCGATTATAGGTATTATCACAGAGGACAAAGAGGGCTCCTGGAGCATCTAGCCAAAGCTGCTATTAGCAGACTGGGGCCTAGCTGTCACTCCCAACTTGGCTATATAAGTTAGTGCCTTCTTTTATATAAAAACTACATAGTCAATATCCATACAGGCTGAGAATAGGAAAGAGAGAGGGTTCTAATGAAAACCCCACACCTTGAAGGACTGCTTTACTTATTATAATTCTCAATTACTCCAACGGACTATATAATGAGAAAGGCTTGTTCACATGTCTGTACTTGCAAACCACCCATGAAAATCCATCAGCGGCTTGCCTTGCACATGCGTCTCCATACGAACCAAACAGAATTATTATTATGGGAACACAATGTGAAAGCAACTGCAGAAAATCTGAGCATGGAAACCCGACTCAGACAGTGATTGTAGAGATAAATGACTATCTTGAAACCACAATACCTTGTTTAAAGAAAACGCATTATCTCCCAGCATCTCAAAAGCCTGACGTGCTCTTCATGAGATGCTAACAATAAAAGTCTACTATTACATTTCAGTTTTGCTTTTAACATTTTGGAGTTAAGTCTAAAGTGCAAGGCCTTAATGAACTTAACAGCATTGCTGGCAATGGTGCACAATTCAGCTGAAAAATTTGACGGCAATCAGCAGAGGAACCTTACCTCCTAATGCATAGAGCAGCTCCAAAGCTTGTACCATTGACTGAGCAGGTGGAGGCTGGAGGGAAAACACATACATACCATTTGTTCTGCCTACTGTAAGGACATTTATTACATTACAATGAACTCAAGGGACACAGATAAGGGCTCCCATGTGATCTCTCACCCAGGTCCCGCTTATGCCTGCAGGTATTTCCGGTCGAAAACTTTTCTAGATATTTCCTGAAAAACGTCGTGAGCCATGCAGGTGAACACTGCTTCATAGCCTTGTACAGGCTGTGAACATCAAGACTTCAAAATCCTCTGGTTTTGCTAGCTACTTGAGAAAATTTCTCTAGCAGTCATGCTGGATAACATCTCAGCAAACTAGAGCCTTGCACTCAAATGGTTAGCTCACTTCAACTTGGTGCCTGCAGGTGCCAGCACCTTTCATGGCACCCATAAATGATCTTAGTAAAAATCCACAATAGACTGTTTGGCGTTCCTGCTTAGTTCTTAGTGCCTGAGCCTCTTAAACATGTCTACATTTTATTCAATGCAAGAAACAAACAGCTTCTCTCTGATGTGGGTTCCTTTTCCCACTATTGATGGGGCAGCTGATAGGAGGAAGAATGGCTGCACCATTTTGTGGTCCTTTTTCTTTCTTTTTTGCTCTTTTAGATGTGGCAGCCGTTTTGCGTTATGCCATGCCCACATTTTGTGACCGTTGCCCACTACATTAAAAAAAAAAGCTGGTGACACCTGATTAACATGAACAGAGTTTCAGAACTGCCTTGTGGAGGCACATAAAGCACTGAAGTCCAAATATTCAGTACAAAACCAGAAACTTTAAATATTCCAGAACTGCAAGGGTAAGGTGGCACTGGAAAATGGAAGTTATATATAGGATCTAATAAATCCAAAGATTTAGAAAGCTACAACTAAAACATCAAAATCCTGCTAGTGGGGGAAATTATTTGAACAGTACAAGTATGCTTACATTTAATATATATGTTTAATTAAATTGCTCATGACAGCTGGAGTGTGTTGAAGGGATGACAGGGGGAACACTGCAAAACCTAGAACCATGTGCTCCAATATTTTGGCCAGAGACTGGTATTGAAGGCTGGGATGAAAAGAATCAGGAAGCAGAGAGACACTGGACTTGTATGCAACGGAATCAGAGCGAAATTAAATTTTAGTGAATCATCTGCCAAAGCTGCCCGCAAGGGCACAATGCACAACTCAACTGTGCTAGACTGATGCAACATCTTTCCATGCTACATCACCACAAACTCTCTCTGTTGGAACTGACTATATTTGTTCAGTGCAATTTCAATGGCTCCTGGTCAGAAGAAGTCCACGTTGCTGTGTTGCTCCAAGACAGAGTGCTCTGGGCATATGGAACCTGACCAGTGCTGCTGTGACCAAAAGCTATTCAGTCCCAAGTTACTCTATATTCTGCATGCTGCAGCATGTTGGTAGCCATGAAGACCCCTAGATGTCCCCATTCAGCAAATAACGTTCGATCACAAGCTAAACATGGGAAGAGATTGTGAAATCTAGTTAACAGATCTATATATTTATCGTTATATACCACTTTCTCGGCTATTCAACATCTCAAAGTAGTTTACAATTAAAATCACAACCACCAAGCAGTCTATTGCCAATAACACCAACAGTGTCTTCACCAGAGGGGCTGCAGGGCAGAGCAAAGGTAGGGTAAGTTCCACTGCGTAAATTAACAAAACAGCAGCATTGGATTGGAAAGCCATCTGAAAATGGGGGCTTTTTTTTCCCTGTGGAGGTTCTCGAGGTTCTTGCTTTCTTTATTAAAAAGACAAGGCTCTTCAGAAGCAGTTAGGCAAACACTCGACCTTGGTGTTAGATCCACCCTACCCTACTTCCTGAGTGTCAGAGCAATAGTTACTAGGCTATGAACCATTGACCTCTGATGGTCCGCTACCTACTAGTAATATTCAGAGAACATTCAAGACTTACAAGCTCTTTTTAAACTCTCTCCTTATAGCCTGCAGGCATTTAGAACCTTTATTCTGAAAGAGCCATGAGACATGCAGAAACAAAAGGGAACATAAAAGTGAAGGAACACTTCTTAATCTGGCATTTAACAGGAAGATATGCATGTGGTCCCCGTGAACACAACAGGACAGCAGACCTTGGAGTCCTTGTAAAATGGCTTATACCGTGTAGACAAAGTTGACAAACCACAGAACACAGAAAAATTAAAGAAGAATCCCATACTTACTGAGAGGAAAGGAAATCTAAGCACATTGTCAATTCCTAAAGCCTTGAGCTGCAAGATGACTGGTGCCAGGTTACTGCGTTGCATCTCGGGAATGGTGGACTGTGGCAACTTCTCAAAGTCTTCCTCTGCGAAGAGGGCACACATTTTAAAATGCAAATCATTTAAGTCAGAAACCTCGACAACATTCCAGAAGTTAAGAAAGAACAAAAACACACAAGTCATTCCTAATGTTAACAATTATGCTTAGTAAGGAATTGAGATAAACACGACAACTCAACTAAACAAGACGATGTTGGCAAAAGGTGTTTGAAGAAGGTAATTTCGCAGTATCTGGTGCCTGAGAATTTTTATCTAAATGCAAAAGCGAGTATTGAACATGTCAAGCATGTAGAATCAGAGATGGAAGGGTTTGAATCAGGTGAAAAAGGCCTGCAAAGTGAATGTTTCTGAGAAATGTAAACAGAGGGAAACTGATGGAAAGGGATTTTCCCATCCCTTCTCACCTGGGCAATCTCTGGTGCCCACACCCAACCCCAAATACAGCAAGCTGGTGGGTCAGGGGACCCCACTGAAGAGGAGAGGAAAGATTTTTAAGTACAGTGCCACCCAAGCCACAAACAAAAGAGCAAAGCTTTAAGTGTTACACACACGTCACCTGTGTAAAGTCTGTAGCATTTTCCTGAGCGGTTCCGGCCTGCACGACCTGCTCTCTGATTGGCAGAGGCCTTTGATACTGGGACAACCACAAGGCATTCAATAGCTGTTTTTGGATTATACGCACGGAGTTTCACAAAGCCACAGTCAATCACAAATGAAATTCCATTGATTGTGATGGACGTTTCTGCAATATTAGTGGCCACTATCACCTGAAAGAATAAAGAAAGCCAGTTTGTTTGGGATTTATTATGCTTGCTGATTCCTGACTAGCTAAGTTTAAGAAAATAAAAGCAGAAAAAGTTTGATATAAAGGGGGAATCACAATAATGGGACTCTAATTCAAAAAGTTTTCTAGGAGTGGTTAAGCTAGCAGCAATAATGCTTGCCTGAAAAGCTGCATTAAAGAAAAGAACTAAGCACACACACACAAAACCCTGAAGGTGCTGCAAAATAGAGAGCCGCTGATTTGTGTAAGGGCAGATATGTACTCTGGAGCTGAGAAGAAAAGCACAAAGTCTTCAAAGAATTAAATAAGATAAAATAAAGCAACATTCACTACAAACGACTTGGGTGGGCATCGTCGCAGGGCAGGGGTTGTAGTCTTGCATTCAGCATTTTGAGGGAAGTAAACGAGCTACCATGAACTGCAGAGGCAAAGCATAGAGATGATTAACCTCTAAGCCAGCCCTTCTCAACCTTGGATCACCGTATGCTATTGGATTACAACCCCCATCATCCATAACTAGCAGGGGCAGCAGTCAGAGATGATGAGAGTGGTAGTCCAACAACATCAGGGAGTCCAAGGTTGAGAAAGGCTGCTCTAAGCAATATAAAAATGAGTAAAAATTCTTGTTTAACAAGAAGGGTACATGGAGTTGATCCCAAGAGGGAGACTTACAGAAAACCCTATAGCATCGGTTACCAAATGTAACGTGGGGAAATGCATTGTTATCATGTGGTTACCAAATGCAATGTGGCGAAACATTAATCGACGGTGGGCAATACCACCAATTCGCAAGCACAGTGCCCTATTCATTTATGACAACGGAAGCAACTTTACCTTTCTAACGTTGGGAGATACCCTCTCAAACACTTTCATCTGCTCAGTAGCAGGTAATCCTGCATACATTGGAAGAACTCGCAGGTGTCTTTTCATCCCTGTGCGAGCAAGGACCCGGGCCTGTTCTATCAGCATAGAAACAACTGTTTCCACTTCCTCCTAGAAAAGAATCAATATAAGTGACAGATCAAAATGCATTTAAGCTCCAATATCATATCATGGACACTGAAGCAGATTTAGAGAATTTAAAAAACAAAATACTTTAGTGTCTTGCTAGAATTTCTTCTCACGTGTTATTTAAAAGCTGCCAGATGACCGGCGATCTTTATCCAATACTCCATGGGTAGGCAAACTAAGGCCCAGGGGCTGGATCCAGCCCAATCACCTTCTAAATCCGGCCTGTAGACGGTCTGGGAATCAGTGTGTTTTTATATGAGTAGAATGTGTCCTTTTATTTGAAATGCATCTCTGGGTTATTTGGGGGGCCTTCCTGGTGTTTTTACATGAGTAGAATGTGTGCTTTTATTTGAAATGCATCTCTGGGTTATTTGTGGGGCCTTCCTGGTGTTTTTACATGAGTAGAATGTGTGCTTTTATTTAAAATGCATCTCTGGGTTATTTGTGGGGCATAGGAAATCGTTAATTTTTATTTTTATTTTCAAAATCTAGACCGGCCCCCCACAAGGTCTGAGGGACAGTGGACCGGCCCCCTGCTGGAAAAGTCTGCTGACCCCTGCAATTACTGTGTCTTATTGTTCCATTCCAGCAGACACACAAGAATGAGAATCCGACTTTGCAGTTCATGCTTAAAGGCTGCATAACATCCAACTTCCGAATCACAAGTTATCAAGAGGTCTGCTTTGTATACAACAAACAATGACAAGAGGATGCACAAGTGATTTCTGCTTTTTCTCTCTCTCTTGACTGAACTAAGATTTTCTTGTGATGAGAACTGCAAGCTTCAGCAACTAGCTGGACCACACAGTGGGATAGTTCCAGGAAACCCCCCTTCCACATTACAAGCTGTGGCAGGGAAAGACAACTTTTAACTGCAAATACTTTCGTTTAAGTGCTGTAAGAAATAGTTCAGCCTTTCAATTGACCAAAATAACTATACTTTCTCCATTTCTGGAACTCCAAAAAGGAGTTCCATAATCGCACATAATTATTTCATACAGGTAATACAATTGTTATGATTAATTTGGAGGTACTGTAATAAATTTTCTTTCTCCCTGGGTAGTAGAACAGTTCATACTAGCAGTACAAGTGACAGTCTTCAGAATCTACATGTTTTAATGGCATCTCCATTTGAGATTGCAGCTTCCAAACATCTGAAACACACAGGCCAAATTTCCTCTATATTGTCAAAATTATTTCAGGGAATTTTTAACACTTGTGATTTGCCAAGTCAAGTGCGCTCCACTGCATCTCCTGTCACTACAGCCTACATTGTATCTGTGCAACAAGGAAGGCATACTGTGTTAGAGACAGAAATATACATAGTGCTACAACCGTGGACACAGTTTGTAGAGGAGGAAGCATAATGCTGGTGTAGTTCTCTCCTGTACATCATCATTACTACTTTCACAAGTTGCTGCTATGATCAATTAAAGCCAAAGAGCACAGGCACCAGTTCAGACACATCCAGGGCTGGAAAAGCAAATGGAAAGGACCACATCTGAGGATCGTAACAGAAAGGAATGCTAAATTTGCATGGTATTGTTGTACAATAGGAGTAGCTTGCAGAGTAATAATAATAATTTATTATTTATACCCCTCCCCCAATCTGGCTGAGTTTCCCCAGCCACTCTGGGCAGCTCCCAATCAAGTGTTAAAAACAATACAGCATTAAATAGTAAAAACTTCCCTAAACAGGGCTGCCTTCAGATGTCTTTTAAAAATAGGATAGCTGCTTATTTCCTTGACATTTGATGGGAGGGCGTTCCACAGGGCGGGTGCCACTACCGAGAAGGCCCTCTGTCTGGTTCCCTGTAACTTAACTTCTCGCAATGAGGGAATTGCCAGAAGGCCCTCGGAGCTGGGCCTCAGTGTCCGGGCTGAACGATGGGGGTGGAGACACTCCTTCAGGTATACTGGACCGAGGCCATTTAGGCTTTAAAGGTCAGCACCAACACTTTGAATTGTGCTCGGAAACGTACTGGGAGCCAATGCAGATCGCTCAGGACCGGTGTTATATGGTCCCGGCAGAGTAAGTGGGAAGCTCAAGCTGTACTGAAATACAACTGATTGAATGAACTGAAATATGGCTGCTGAAGCAAAACCATACTAAGCAGGTGGAAGCAGGCGACTTAGAAGCTTCCCAAATACCACAGTGGTATTTCACAGTTTAGTATAACCCCAAACAGGTGTATGCAGCAACCCTAAATTCTAGAATTATTGAAACTACCATTTTACATCCTTGCTCCCTCTCACACACATTCTGCATTAAAAAAATGTTTTCAGAATTATTGCACAGCACAAAGTGAACATATCTTATACCAAAGTAACAATTTCAACAGGACAAACATTTCTTTTGTGTCTACCTGGCCAGTTAAAAATGCCAGTATATCCCCATCACCTTCTGTCTGATGAATTTTCATAACAGTTTCCACAGTTGATTTCACATAATCTGGAACAGGACTGTTGGAAAAAGCATAGACATGAGTTTCAAGTAAGGAAGGCAAAACACGCTCTTATCACCAGGATAAAAAAGGGAATATATAGTTAGATTTTCATAAGTAATACAGACAGCTCACATACTTGAAGTATGCTTGATACATGACCTAAAAAGTAATCCTAGCGCTAGCTGGACCTTTCTGAATTCTTCACAAGTCACTTAAAATAACTTCACTTGTTTCTTTGACATTATCACAAATCCTGAATATCTGTATTTAGAGAGTCCTCCATCTCTATATCACATACACGCACAAGAATTTATTTCACAATTGCAGAAAAACAGTTAAATCAATATGTTGCTTTGACATCTAAACAAGTTACTTTTTTAAACAGTTCAGTTGTACTTATATTTGCCTACAAAGCACTCAGCATTGTAAAAACACAGAAAATTGCTTCTTACTACCTGAATAAATTCTATGCATCTATTATAAGGGCCTGCAATATCCAATTTAACACAACAAGCAAATTTTGTAAGAGCCTCTAACATGCAGAGAAGGCGTTCAATATGGCATTGCCCTATATGAAAATTTACATCTAACTATGGACTGGATCACACATGGAAGCTTAATACTCAATGCCTGCATCATGTGATCTTGCATATGCAAGAGGGTCATCACAGATACAACGCCATCCACAGAATTTCCATACCACATCATACAAAAGCTTTCCAGTGAAATCAGTGCACCCAGTCAGCTAGTAGGACCAAGCATATAGGAATCAAGTTATGTACATGCACATATGAGGCAGCCCTATATGCACTAGTAAGTAGCCAGGTGTTGTTGTTTTTTTAAACCAAATAGCTGTCCTAGTTTTCCTCAGAAAGGAACGGAAATTTGTATATTTAAAAATATTAAAATAAAAATTGGAGAGATTGGAAATTTAAGCTTCTAATATTTGCATAATACGCAATCACCTCATACAGTGTTTAAGGAATGAAAAACAAAGGACTAAATTACTACACCCATATATACGCACTGCTTCATGCATCTAATGATATAATAAGCCCTGAAGACTGTCTGCTGGTTCAGCTACCCCAGACTAACATGGCTACTCTCCCAGAATGCTTTGCCACTGTTACTTGAGCATTCCTCAAAGATGCCTGACACAAACATAGTAAGGTCGCAAGAACATAAAAGGGACACAATTCACAAAGCACACGATTATCCGCCTATGACACCCACATTTCCTTGCCCAGCGCAAGCACAAAAGCAAGCACTGTGTGTGCAGGGGTAAAAAAACGAGCCCACTTCTGCCACCGGACCTGTCCATCTCCTTCTGTGGAGGAGGAGGAGAGAGGGCATGAAGGTGCTGCCAGGTTTGCCCATATCCCTTCTGTGGAGGGGGAAGGGAAGGACTAAGATTCCAGGGGAGGAAAAGCATGAAGATTCCACCGAGTCCCCGTAGCACTCGTCTGAAGTCTGCTCCAGCTGGCCGGTGCAGAAGGGGACGGGGGAAGGTTCCCGAAGCCCTCCTCCACTGAAGTCTGCGCCTGTTGCTCACAAAATAGGAGAAAGACACATTCAATTGGAAAACAAGATTTCAGGTTTACATCCTCAACGTGCCGGTACCCATGTAAAGACAACTCTTTAAAATAATACCTAAGGTCCATTTAATGCTTCCCTTTCCCGCCCAGACTTTTGGTCGACAAGCGGGTAAGATGCACGCTCCTCTAGTCACCACTTACGAGTATTAAACAGGAACAGACCTCTGAATGTAGAAGACATCCACTGGAAATGTTCGCCCTTCCACTGTAAGGATCATGCTGGTATCTTTGCTTGGGTCACTGGTCTCATTTTGGTTAAAGAAATCCCTAAATTTCTAGGGCAAAGATAGCAAACAATTTTTTGAAAATCAGTGCGTTGTTTAAAAGAGTCCAGTTCCTAACTCAGGAGCCAAAGGTAGGGTGTTGCTACTATTCTCTTTCAAAATATAAGCATAAGGAGGGACCTAACTAACTCGTTCTGTCACTGGCAAGGATTTCTGCTTGAGCAATGGACCTGCCCCCATTCATCTCCCTGTGGGTGTTCCTTGCCCTCCTCACATCTGCTCTGGAGGACTGGGGAAACCCCCAGATCAAGTTTAAGAGACACATGGCGAGTTCAACTGCTTAAGTGGAAATCCTTGCACTGACAGAACAGATTAGTTGGATATCACCTGTTATTTTCTAGAAAGCAAGGCATTACTGTGAGCAACTTATGTTCCAGATGACTTCATTTACTTATCTGCATATGTATGGAAGAGCATACAGTCCTGGGATTTAAGAAGAACTTTTCCTCCTAGTGCTGTATTGTGATTGGGAGGAAAAAACATCCCAGGTAACCTGGCAAAGACACCTACAATCCCTCATGTATCGCTGCAAGCAGCTGGTGACAGGATGCGCAAAGAGGGAGAAGACTTCTGACACAGATTTTGCTGGTGGTGGTAAATTGACATTAGTTCCTGCTAGGCTACTTAGAATGACTTAGGCAGGTCTGACCCAGCTTGCAGGCTCAGATTTGCCACCCCAGCTCAGAACATATGGAGGTCCAGCAATTTAATCCATCTCTGTGAACTTCTGATATTTTATGCTGCTACAAAACATACTTCAATATATAACCTAATAACATTAACAAGTACATTTCCCCATAACTAGAGCTGAAATATTTTTCAAAGTAGCAACCAGTCTAGATATCCTTGGTTTTGTAATTTCTTCCTAATTTGCTTAATCTAGTAATTATCAGATGTTTTGGAGAAAATGTGGCTGACTATAGAAGTTTTAAGTTGTGTTACCAATGTAAATGGTGCAGCCTTTTGATTTTTAATCAAAAACAGAAAAAAACAGATCAAACTGAAAGAATGCAAAAGTTGCAATTTCTGCAATAACTATTTCATAAATATGAATAAATATAATCCCTTTTAAAATAAACTGACCACACAATTTCACAAACTGGGTATTATCTGCTCTAGAACCTTCTAAAAGGGATTCATTTCACAGAGTTCAGGGAAATAGCGTGTAGTGTAACCCAAAACTAACAGCAATTAAGCTTAAACTTTATGCACATTAGTAGCAGCAGATTAAGTGTAGGCAATACAATCCAAATTTTATTTTACTTGGATTGGAAATACAAATCTTAATGGCTTCATAAATGTTCACCTCAATGGAAGGCAAGCATTTCAGCTGCGAAAGTTATCTGGGTGAGATTAAAATGAAAGCTGAAAACACTTTCCCCCTTCCACCACCTCCAAAATTTTCATTGTTAAGAAATTGGTTCCCCTGCCCAAACTGAATGGGAGTAGGGAGAGAGACCCAGTAAGTTAATGGGAATTAACATAAAAACTTAACAGTGATTTTGTTCAACTGCCAACTATTCTGATGGGGTTTGGTCTGCCTCTGCATGAATGTGTTGATTAGGCTACCATGTCCCATACTCTACTGAAGAGAACCTCCAGATGCTGTTAGCCTCTAACTCTCATCAGCCCCAGTCAGTATAGCTAGTGATAAAAGATGATAGGAGATGCCAACATCTGGGGGGGGCACAGGCTCCCCATTATTCTTCTATAGAATGAAATACAAGATGATAATTGTTTCATTTTCTATCAGAAATAAAATGGGGAAATTATTTGAATCTAATATGTTAGTTCTACCTCTGCATCCAGTGTAGCTGATGCAACAATCAGGCGAAGGTCTCCTCGTTTCTTTTGAACCTGTGAGACACAGCAGGGTGTTTTTAATCCTCAATTATGATTAATCACCACAGAATCCCAGAACTGTTTGTATAATTTAAGAAAGGCATTGGTCTGCATACAAAAACAATAGACAAATCAAGTATCTCTATTTTCCAGAAAATGACTTATCCTATTCAGAGTACATGCATTGCAAACCAAGCCAGATATTCCCACATTTGAAAATCATGTAGGTGTATGATCTTAAGTAATATGCTACCACTAAAATAATCCTCACCACCAGTGTATCATGCTTACAAACCTTAGGAAAATGTTTTATGAAATGATGCTAGCACTGTTTGTCTTAAAGGCCTGTAAACTATTAACAAGTATGGTAGGATTCATGTTGCTGTTTCCATCAGAACTGTACCTTCAAGAATAGCATCCATTATGAAAATCAACTCAAAATTAGCACCATTGCAAGCTTAACAGAGCAGCAAACTCTTTGATAGTAGGACCAAGGTAATCAGCTCTCAAACACAGGCAACTGAATAGACACTCTGAGCAGGTTATAATTCTAGAAACATTATAATCTTTTGCTCAATTCAGAAATTAAATAAATGTGGGGGAATGGAGGTAGGATGCACAAAGAGAGCTCTAACCTTTTTTAATAAGCCAATGGCAATATCTGTATATAAGGTCCTCTCGTGGGCTTCATCCAACATGATGACACTGAATCAAAGAGAAAAGAGCAGAGTTCCAATTATGAGATATCAATGAAAGCTGAAATTAAGTCCACCTGAAAAATTCCAATTTACCAAGTGTAACACATTATATAATAGGCACAATTCAAATAATTATGGAAGTAGTATGCAAGCTGATCTTGAAAGTCACACATTTATGACTCAGCTGAATTTAAAACTCCAGCAGAGCTGCAATAACCATAAATTAAACACGACTGTGGGGGAAAAATGGAATGGGTAATGAAATGCTAGGGATAGTTTTTCTTAAGACAATGACTCCTTATGGTAAAAGTACAAAATGTGAGGCCTGAAGATTGTGCATGCAAGTTCATTTATACCAGGGACAGGGAACCAGTTTCAGCTTAAGGGCCACATTTCCTTATGAGCAACCTTTGGGAGGATGCATGTCAGTGTTAGGATATAGTTCCGTTCCTCCTTAAAAGGGAACAGGCATGACTATTGTATGTCACATGCCTGTTTACTTCCAGCACTTGCTGGGAACTTCTCTTTGTATATAGCTTTTGCATTACTGCTGTTTTGCTGGAGACGAAGGGAAGCAGACATGCTTTCCTTTGTTCCTGAACTATGCTTAATAAAATGCTGTACATTATGCTTACACGTTTCTCTGTCCGCCTCTTCTGCTGTGAGAAGATTTACGCACTCTGCTGATAAAGCATGCACGGGTCTCTAAATGTATCTGAGGCTCGTGTCGCTAATTGATGCTGTTCCAAGGGAGACCAGCTGCCGGCCGGTGGCTGGAGCCAGCTGAGGGCCAGCCTGATGCCTGTCTGATGCCCCCGTCTTCCCGGCAATATCCCAACAGTCAGTACAGGTGGGGACAGAGGTAAAACTGGGTGTGACTACGGTACTGGGTAATAACAGTGGGTGGAGCAACAAATGTGACTCTTTCCTCGGTTCAGCGCATTACTGAGAACAGAACAGAAATCGTGCCCCATTAGCTAAAGTGGTACCTCAGGTTAAGAACAGTTTCAGGTTAAGAACGGACCTCCAGAACAAATTAAGTTCTTAACCCGAGGTACCACTGTACATTCCAACCACACAAGAGGCAGGGGTTTCTACACAGACACCCCTCCATCTTCCACCCGGACAAGAAGGCATTAACACAGTTCAATGACACATCTGCGCCTGGCAAATGTAGTCAAGGACAGCACAGAACAGGACTGGTGAAGGGTACAGCTGGGGCAAGGGTGTGTGGCCTGAGAGAAGAGGCTCAAGAGCTGGATGCAGAAGCCTAGACAGCTGCAATCAGCCCCTGGGACAGAGGTTCATCAACCCTGACAAATTGTGGTATTCCTCTGGGATCAAGGGCACTGTACTTTATTGGTGCTGCTCCTAATTCGATGCACAATTACAGAAGGTGGTGCTCAGAATTTATTGTTTTATTAAGTTCCGTAAGTATCCATGGCAAATTACAGAACAATAAGCAAAATGAAAAGTTAATCACTGCTGCCAAACTAAAGATAAATGTAGGCAAAAGGAAAAGGTGGGGGAAGCCTTACATCATTAATGTATACAGCAGTTAAAAGGGTTGTTAGCCTAACCTGTATCGTGTTAGCAATGGATCAGCCATCATTTCTCTCACCAGCATCCCATCAGTCAGGAACTAAAACACAGATACAAGAACAATCGACGACTTGTTCATCAACTTCAGCAGCACAAAACTCTAGGCAACAGATACACAATTCCCTGCATTTCCAAAGTTCAGAGCCAAGAATGCATCCTTATGAAGCCAGGAAAGCAATACAGTGGTGCCCCGCAAGACGAATGCCTCGCAAGACGAAAAACTCGCTAGACGAAAGAGTTTTCCGTTTTTTGAGTCATTCCGCAAGACGATTTTCCCTATGGGCTTGCTTCGCAAGACGAAACGTCTTGCGAGTTCTTGCGAGTTTGTTTCCTTTTTCTTAAAGCCGCTAAGCCGTTAATAGCCGCTAAGCCGCTAATAGCCATGCTTCCCAAGACGAAAAACCTGCAAGACGAAGAGACTCGTGGAACGGATTAATTTCGTCTTGCGAGGCACCACTGTATCCACATACAAGAAGGTACCAGCGTGATTGTGGGAACTCCAAATTGTGTAGAAGTGACAAGCAACTTTATCTAACAACAGAAAGCTAGGTGGGGGTGGGGGGAAATGGAGTCCTCTGGAGAGGGGCATGGCTACCTGTCTGGAATACTGAACAGGTGCTGCAACATGTACATTTTTGCAGGTTTCTCTTGCGACAACTGCGTTTTCTCAGCCTATGAATCTCTACTGGCTATGTATGGTGCTATGTATAGTGCTGAGTATGGAATAGTGTTTTAGTGCTATGTATGGAATAAAGAAATGGGTATACATTTCACTGGATTAGGAAGATAAAGCAAGGGACACTAATTTCTGCAAATGTCACAGGCATTTGTTCAGAGATGTTACCTTAATCCTTGTAGCTTGTGGATCAGTACAATCATCAAATCGTATGCAGTACCCAACTTCATGACCCAGCAAGGCACCCCTTTCCTCAGCTACCCGGCCAGCGATCTAATAGAAGGAAGATGAGGAGGAGGTTTAAAACTGTAGACATCAAACAAAACTTAATTCTTGAACTAGGCCTTATTAATAATATTTGACATGTGTACGTAGTTAGAAATTGAATTCAGCTAATTTGGCTAAACTGAGCTAATCCTGTTGGACAATTATATAACTTCTGCACAAGCATCCCTCGTATGACAGGGATCTTTTAGGATCAGTGGAGTTGCAATTACTGTGCTTCTACAGGGACTGCACAACCTACAGGTTTAGCACAACCTATATTTGAAAACTCTACTCATATTAGTCACTCAACACAAGGTTTTGATTGCCCAAACAATAATAGTAATAAACAAATAATTTTTTATTATTATTTATAAACACCAAACTTATTATTATATAAAATTGTTTATAAACATCAAACTCAGAAAGCTGAGACTGGAACATCAATGTAGCTAGAATCCATTTATACAGCAGACAGGCTATTTATAATGCATGTATTCCCTCAATTACAATCAACCACTTGACTCTGGATGAATTCTAGTTGTGCCAGCTGTAGCCCCAGGATATAACAGCCTACAATTGTATTAGCAGTTAGGCTGGCGCTTCATGATGTATTAACACTTTCTCAAATGGTCACAGATAAAAACATCTCCTCTCAGGAACCACCTATACAGTGCTGGCTTACTGTCAGCCTATGTGAATTAAAAAATAGGATTGATGAATGGTTAGAAATAGGAAGGTGGAATCACACAGTCAGCTTAATTCCTGGATATATGGATTAACAGCTAGCTTTCCACCCTCTCAATTTTCATACTTTCCTAATTCAAAAGACAAAATTTTGAATGGCAAAAGTCTCAACATTAAAACGCCTGAACACATACAACTAGGTTTTTCAACCCAGAAGGCCATTGCTCAAGGATAAGGGTCTAAAACACACCACCAGTTTCTAGCACCCAAAAGAGTGAGGTCTAGCCACCAAATTTTATGCCACAATACATTCCTGCCATTTTTTTAGTGTTGCAGAACTTTCCTGTTTTGGAACAGGAGACTAATATAACTACTTCTACAGACCTATTTTTAGAATGCTTGGCTATTTCCAAAGCATAAGTTGCACAAAAGCACTGAAGCCTTTTCTGTGTACATCATCTTCCCATTGTCCCTTTCTTCTTGACTCCATGTTTTCAGGCAATATATTTTCATCTCCTGCACTCCCAATATTTCCAGCTTACTGAAGAGACAGAGACTAACAAGCTTAAAACCCCTCACACTTCATATGAATAGAAAAACTGCATTGTACAAAGCCAAACCACTTGTCCACTAGCCCAGTACTGTCTGCTCTGTTTGGCAACAACTTTCCTACTGAGGAAATTCCTAGCTCAGCTACCTGAACTCCCTTAACTGGAGATGGAAGGCTGAAAATTGAATCTGCAGTAGCCACTTGAAACTGAAAATTGAATCCTCTGCTTCCTCCCCATGTCATGCTTATGTTTCTTCAAGACTGCTTTCTCTAACAATGTTCTTATCAGCAATAAGCAGCCCACTCTAAACAATTCAATTAGTTATAGTGCTACAAATGAAAGCACAAACTGGATCCATGAAAGGCTTTTGTGCCAAAGGCTTAAATATCCAGGCACGTTTCACATTTGTTCATCAAAATGGGCCATATGGTAAAGCTATGCAGACTTGAAACAAACTAAAAACAAGCATAAAAATGCAAATCCAAATTGTGTGTAAATACACAGCCTGGAGCACATTTTAGAAGACGCAAAAATTCTCTCTAAACAGAATGCCTGTAATATAGCATGCATATATATATATATGTGTGTGTGTGTGTGTGTGTGTGTGTGTATAAGCCCTGCACATCATAACTGCTAGTTCAAAATTTTGTAAAATAACAATGACAACTACCCTTCTGGCAAAGAGCAATCACACAATAAATGAACAAGGGCTGCAAAAATGTTAAATATTTTCTGCACCCTACTTCAAGCCCTTGTAATAAAAAAATATATGAACCATGTTTTAATGGTTACATGCTTCTTTGGATCCTGTACAAAGCTGTTCTCACCACCCTAACTTCCTACTTTTAATTACAGGTAGATAGCCGTGTTGGTCTGCCATAGTCAAAACAAAATTTAAAAATTCCTTCCAGTAGCACCTTAGAGACCAACTAAGATTGTTATTGGTACGAGCTTCTGTGTGCATGCACACTTCTTCAGATACTCAGCTCATACCAATAACAAACTTAGCTGGTCTCTAAGGTGCTACTGGAAGGATTTTTTTTTATTTTGTTCCTACTTTTAAGCTCATGAGTTTTAAACTGCTATGCACCGCATCTCCTCGAAGTAAAATCTTTTGCTTGACCATGATGTTATTCCAGCAAATGGCTTCCATTGAGAGACCCACAGTATGTGGTTTAAACCCATCGACAAAAAACCGGAAGCAGGACAGCAAACCCTGAGAAAGATGCTTTCACCAATACTTGCTCAATGTTTCAGTCAAAACAAGAAGGAATTCTTCACCAGAATTCATGCTCAATTGTGATGGGGAAAGAAACAAATTACTTTGTTCTTACTACTTAGCCCAGGGGAAACTGGGCTAACACCCTATTGCAAAGATTTTCACTGAAAACATAGGGCCTTGAGCAAGTCAGCATCTGTCGGACTCTGTGTCAGAAGACAATCAGTTACGGAGCCCAGTTAAGGTCCCATTACCACATGGATTTTAATGAGATTCAGGAATGCTTAGCTATAAACTGGGTTGTGTCAAAAGTTGATATGAACAGTGCTATACAAAAGGTTAGAACATATTATCATTCCCCAAAAGAATAATACGCAGACAAATAGTTTGAACTGGAGGCACTCACTGAAACACAAGCAACTCTCCGGGGTTGTGTTACTCCCACCACTCTCCCTTCGGCAGTCCAGCCAGCTTCTGTTAGATACTGTAATGAGGAAACAAAGCTATTAACATAGATGGTATAAAAATTCTAAGTTAAATAGTTGCACTAGCGGAAGCCGGTGCAACAATTCCTGTTAGCACAAGGAACCTTCCTGCCTCTCCTTTCTATCTAAGTTCACAGCCTGGGGCCAGGGTACCTGAAGGATCACCTGTCTCCACATGTTCCTGTTGTTCACTATGATCCTCATAAGAGTTTCACAAGTTCTCCTACTATCTAGGGCATTGTGAGGGGTTTTAAGGGGGGGGGAAACGGTCAGTGGTGGTGCCCCAGTTTTGGAATGCCTTCCTCAGAGAGACTTTTCAGGCACATAATGAAGACATCATATTATCTCATAACTTTTTTATTTAATTTGATCCATTTTGTAGATGCTGTATTGCACCCAACGCTGTCCATGCTAAGATGCTCATGCAACAGGACTTCCAACTTCTTCATCTCACCTTTGCAGCCTTCTAGATGCCCTCAAAATCTGCTTTAATGCTAAGGGGCCCTCCGGAGAAAATGTGGACTACATGCAGGAGAAAGAAAGGTGAAGTCCCATTGTTAGAGCAGAAGTCCATTTATACAATGTTGGACTCTGTTCTTTGCATTTATGCTGCTTTTATATATTCTTCTGCTTTTATTGTACTTGCAAACTACCCTCTGTACTGGGTTGAAGAGTAAGAGTATAAATTCCTACAGATGAAGAAAAATGAATCATTTCATACTCACTTGAGGAATCTGAGTGCTTTTCCCACATCCTGTTTCTCCAACAATCACCAATGTCTGATAATTTTCTACCAGATAAAGGATGTGATTTCTAAGCTGAAAGAAAAATAAAATATTCAAATGTGATTTAGAATGGCTGAAGAAAACAAGTTCAAAACATCAACTGAGAGAAGTGTTTGCGCAAAAACAGCATAGATTACAACCTAGCACAAACTCCTTAAAACCCACTGAATCCAACATGTGCCTAAACTGATAGTGGGACGTGTGCATTTTCATCCACTCAGAGTTACTGTACAAAATAATTGAATGTTCTAAAAAAATTATTTTGTCAGATGAAATGCACATTCTATGTTGCAAATGCACTATCAGTTTTCATACTGCAAAACAAATGTAGAAGAAATGGTAAAATACCCAGAAGATAATGTGCACAATAATTCAATGCAAAGTACTTAAAAGAAATTGATACCTTAAAAACTGGTAGTTTTTGCCTCTGTTGTTCAATAGAAAGGGAAACATACGGATTATAGATCACTGAAACACTAGAGCTTTCACCAGCGCTCTGTCTCTCCTCTGAAAGGCTGACACCAGGCCCTTCTGTCCCTGTATGACCAAATAAATAAATGTCACTACTAATAGGATGACAAGACTTTTAGACAAATGCAAAGAAAGTGGAAAATTAAGTTTATCAGAATTAACCTCTGGAGCTTTTGTAACATCCAAGGCTATCATGCAAGGGAGAATTACAAACCAGTGTGAATTCTAAGATATTCAAAATTTGTTTAAACCACTAGACATAGCTTGCATGTGGCCCTTAGCCAGTCTCAGTACAGCACACCAAGCCCCACCCACCTTTCCCCACTGCCCAGCTGATCTTCCATGGGGAGGATTGATTATCTATACATAACCAGTGTGTGTCTGTGTGGGCAATGCAAGGCCTATAAAACCTTGTCCCCATTTTTATGTAAACAGGTTTTACCGAGTTAAATAGAGCCTTCCAAAACTGTCACTCTATGTGGATGGTACTGGCTGTCAGCTGGGTACTTGTGATATAGAATCCTCCATGAAGTTTTAAATTTATTTTTCTGTCGAAAACTTCGCTGGACTGGTCATGTTGTGAGGATGCCTGATGATCGTCTTCCAAAGCAACTACTCTATTCCGAACTTAAAAATGGAAAGCGTAATGCTGTTGGTCAACAAAAAAGGTTGAAAGACTGTCTCAAGGCAAATCTTTAAAAATGTAGTATAAACACTGACAACTAGGAAACACTGGCCTGTGAGCGCTCCAGTTGGAGAACAGCCTTTACCAAAGGTGTCATGGGCTTTGAAGACACTCGAACTCAGGACGCAAAGGAGAAACGTGCTAGGAGGAAGGCACACTTGGCAAACCCACACCGTGATCAACTCCGGAAACCAATGTCCCCACTGTGGAAGGACGTGTGGATCCAGAATTGGCCTCCACAGTCACTTACGGACTCAGTGTTAAAACCGTGTTTATGGAAGACAATCTTACTCGGCTACGAGTGATCGCCAAAGAAGAAGAAGAATGTAGAATCATAACATCTGTTGCAAAGGATCCAGGTGTCTACTCCATTGAACAGAAAAATCTAGAACTTAGGTCTGGGAGTCTGCCGCTGGCAGCCATCCAGCTCCAAGGTAGTTATGAAGCTGGAACAATCCACAGGAAAGGATATCACACCATATAAATATTGCCAAGTAAAGTGTCGGTTAAGGCCCTTAACAGTTGTAATTTCCTGACATTTTGGAGATTGAGTGAACATGGAGAGCTCTTAAACACGACATGTTAAACCAAAAGGTTTTAGTTATTTGAATTTGGGTGCATTCTGAGAAGGCTTTTCCTACAACTCTCTCATCAGGCAAACTTAAAATTGAAAATGAGAAACTGGTGAGAAAAGGGAAGAAATACCCACATTAAAAAGAAGCGGGACACCATTTAGAACAGCAGGATTGCCTATTGGGACCAATTTAATAATTGAAATAAGGTTAGAAAAACGTGTTCCATCATTTTCCTAATCATGCTCCTGTGTCTTTAATGGGGCTGCCACTGTTTGTCTGTAACAACTAGTGTATTCAGTGACATTAGCGGGGGGTCATGCTGGTTCTCATAGTGTACAATCACCCCAGCTAATTTCTATGGCTGTTAAAATCTCAGAAGCAGGACTGACTGGGGGTTTTCTAGGTAAGTTGGCAAGCAAAACTTCCCCACTCCCTCATTTCTCTTTATTAATGATGGAATGCAGTTCACCACACTCTAACAAATTATGCATTTATTTATGAGTAAGCCCTACTGATATCACTAATGATTACTTTTGAGTAGGCATGCACAGAAGCCAACTGCAAGGCCCAATCCTAAATGCATTCATTGAATAGGGACCTGAAGACAGCAATTCTATGTACGTTTATTAAGAAATAAGTTCACTGAATCCAGTATGGCTTAGCTCCATAAGAAGTGTGCCGAAGATGACAGAGCCTGCTCAGCTCAGAAGGACTTATCACGCATAAAGGATGCATGTTTCAAGATGTTTTATCTTTTTGAAGGCTCACTTAATAATGCCTGCAACAACTACAAACAAACTACAAACATACATTTAGTCAGAAATAAATTTACCTTTCAAAACCATATCATTAATCCTTGTGGATTTGCTGCAGATTACTAAAGAGCTACTGACAGCTGTAAGTGCTGAATCATGCAACTGATGTTCCAAGGAGAAAACAACAACACCCCCATCATTATGGATATGCATAATTTGCAGTTTTCCCTACACAAGTTCATTGAGATGCCCTTCAGTTTGTAGGAGCTATGCCATATGGTTGCAGAACACAATAAATGAAAACCTCTAATTATGCCAGGCTGACTTAGGCCCAGTCAGGATACATTTCCAGGATGGTATGAGCAGCACTCAAGTAGCATGTGTGTGTATATACCCTTGCAATCACAATTTTGAAGATTCCCATGCACCCAGTTTTTCCAAAATTTGGTTTTCCTGACATATTTACATATTTGTCCATATGCATAGGGTGGTATTTGACTAGGTTTATTCACAGTACTCCTGCTGAATTAATGAACATGACTTGTTGTCGTTTAGTTGTTTAGTCGTCTCTGACTCTTCGTGACCCCATGGACCAGAGCACACCAGGCACTCCTGTCTTCCACTGCCTCCCGCATAACATGACTAAATTAGGTCATTTGATTTCAATGGGTCTTCTCTGAGTAAAACAGTGTGTTTTCTGTTAGTATAAACATGTATGTCTGGTTACATACATATGTCTGGTTATATATGTCATGATGGTCAAGTTGTTATTTTGTAGAGTAGCACTGTTTATCATTCACGGGCTTCTCTGTAGTTAGTTAGTTTACAGCCCAACCTGCTACTTCATTAAGCTCAGACGTGATGGTGACTTTAAGTTCTAGGAAACTTCAAAGATTTCATCCATTTGTCAAAAGTAGTTCAGAACTGCATAGCCATAATGACAAGCATGAGACTTTCCTCACTATGCATCAGCATCCCAACACATTTGGTAGCCAATATGCTTCAATTGGCTGTTCTTCGTGACGTTTTGGACAAACTGAAGATCGTCTCCGGGTGATTTCTTATTCAAGGACAAATCATTGCCATGGCTTGTTGTTGACTCAACTGTGCAGCACTAAATGGTCCCAAAGAAACCATCACTCCTCAAACAAACTAGATCTTACTTGGGAAAGGTATCAGCATGGGGACAATACAGGCATAATGCAGAATTCAATACTTGTTCTGCTAATAGACCCATTGAAGTTAATAAACGTGACTACCTTTGGTTTTATCAATTTCAATGGGTCGCTGAGGAGGGCTTAATTGTATACAACTCATAATTGATAGCTAATGTTTCACATTCATTATACATCTACCACCATATTCTACAGGTACACAAAAAATGAATTCAGGCAATAATGAAGTAATTGGTCACTTCCAAATTATTCCTGCAGAGGCAATAAGAAACATTACTTCCTGGCCTGTTTCTCGACAGTTCCAATTAAAAATATCTGAGAGTTCAAGCACAATCTTTGTTAAAACTTGGCTCATGCTGGTGATCAATAGAAGCAACACAATGTCCAAAGATGTATCATAAATATATATGGCATGAATCATGTACATCACTTCTGCAAATGCAATGTTCTTGTCAGTAGCTAACAAAAGAATTGGTAGAACCTAAAATCCAATCAAATTATAGTTTCTATGGCAGTCAAGGTCATAAGAGTTGGAAGGTTTAATTTGAAACATTGCCTGTGGTAAATAAACAGCAGTATAATACTTAAAAAAAATAGTTTCAGATTAAATTTACCATCCAGTATGCTCAAAAGAACCAGTTTCAAAAAGCAGCAGTAATTTCCTCAATGCCAATCAATATGTGTAGATAAAATTACCAAGCATATAGAAGTGCAGGTCTTGCTGGAGCAAGACTGACTAGCATCTGACTAACCTTTTTGAGTGTGTCAGTGAGCATGTAGATAGGTGAAATCTGGAAAAATATTGTGTACTTGAACTTTCAAAAAACTTTTGATGAAGTCCCTCACCAATGACTCCTGAATAAATTTGCAATCACATAATATGAGGCAAGAAATCCACTTTATGAATCAGCAACAGGTTAGAAAACAGAAAACAAGAGTAGGAACAAACATCCAATTCTCATGCTGGGGATCTTTAGGAAAGGAACTGAAAATAAATCTGTTAGTATCATAATGCCTTCATACAGATATATGGTTGACTGCCCTAGAAATATTAGTGGTACCTCGGGTTAAGAACTTAATTCATTCTGGAGGTCCGTTCTTAACCTGAAACTGTTCTTAACCTGAAGCACCACTTTAGCTAATGGGGCCTCCGGCTGCTGCCGCACTGCTGGAGCACGATTTCTGTTCTCATCCTGAAACAAAGTTCTTAACCCGAGGTACTATTTCTAGGTTAGCGGAGTCTGTAACCTGAAGCATCTGTAACCTGAAGTGTCTGTAACCCGAGGTACCACTGTATTCACATTTCCGGTTGCTATGCGGCCTCGGTCCAGTATATCTGAAGAAGCGTCTCCTCCCCCATCATTCTGCCCGGACACTGAGGTCCAGCTCCGAGGGCCTTCTGGCGGTTCCCTCACTGCGAGAGGCCAAGTTACAGGGAACCAGGCAGAGGGCCTTCTCGGTAGTGGCACCTGCCCTGTGGAACGCCCTCCCATCAGATGTCAAAGCGACAAACAACTACCTGACATTCAGAAGACATCTGAAGGCAGGCCTGTTCAGGGAAGTTTTTAATATGTGACATTTTAGTGTATTTTTCATCTTTGTTGGAAGCCGCCCAGAGTGGCTGGGGAAACCCAGCCAGATGGGCGGGGTACAAATAATAAATTATTATTATTATTATTATTATTATTATTATTACTATGCCCAAAAAATGATATTAAACAGAAAAGGGTGCTGAAAAGAGTAAAAAAACAGTGCTGGAGCAACTCCCGGATGAAGACAGATTTTTTTCTTTTTTTAGGTTAGACAGAAGGTGAGTAAAGATCATGATAAAATTAGGCAAGGTGTCATGAAGGCTTTCTCCCTCTTCCATAATACTAGAATTTGGGGACATCCAATGAAGCTGAATGTTGATTTAGGACAGTCATATGACAGTAGTTGCCTGATTAAGTTTCCTAGCCCAGCTCGAAGATCAATCTTATCAGAGGCAGTTTTAGGGTGCAGTGCCACAACAATGCTGTAGAACGGAGTGCAAGTGAGGGCACCAAATTTTAGCATCACAGAGGGCGCCGCTGAAATTTGAGAGCCCAAAGTCCACCACTGATCCTCTGCATGTTGATTCAGAAAAGAGACCCACTAAGTTCAACTGAGCTCCCTCTCAGGTGAGTATAAATAAGATTGCAATGACTTGACTTCAACAATTTCACATATACCCAAAACAAACATTTACATAACAATAACAGTGCAATCATATGCATGTTTACTCAGCAGTAACTTTAAATGTGTTCAGTTGGCCTTACTCCCATGTAAGTGTGTATAGGATAGCAGCCTAAAGGCTATTATTTATATTTGTTCTACCAAAGTGGAAGCATAACTCTCCCAATTACTTACACTCCTGTGCAGCACTTTATGATAGAAACAGTGCAAACAAAAACGTGTACTAACTTCTGACAAGGCACAAAGACATATACACTAAAAGAAACTATTACTACAAACACTGTTCTTGAATTTTTGGGCAGGTTAGCTCCAGACCCCAAAGTGAGCAATACTCTAATTTAAATAAATATTAATAGGCCTATAAAATTTCATCCACGCAGTGAAACACTGTCTGCTAATTATCCTTCACAGGACAATAATCTCAAGAGCATCATGCATATATCAAAGACGTAGCATGCAGATTGCTTAGCACTGCAGAAACCCTTTACTGCTAAGTTTGTATTGTTTCATTAGCCATGAGCCAATGAGGACGGGATCTAATTTCACCAGATGAAAATGTTGACCTTGTTGCTTTTTCAGTCACACACAAGCTTTTCCTAATATTTCACAGATGTCCCTTGTTTTCAAATTTTGCCCTTTTAATAATGTGCAGAGATCAATATGGAAACATTCCATATTATTATTACAGCTCTGTGCAACAAATTACATATATGGTTTAAACTTCTCCCATTTGTTTGAACCACTGCGTTAGCACTAGATAACATCTGTTGAAACAAGCATTCTTTCGTTTGATAAACTGCAGGCAGAAAAGATGCAAAGCCAATCACTGCTAGGTTTAAACTGAAAAAGTCCCATGGTTTATAATACAGCTTTATTCCAAGTGGCAGGGTAGAAGTATGACAATTAAATATAAGGATTGCAGTCTTGCCATATGTACATTTACCCCAAGGTAAATTCCACTGAGCAGAACAGAGTTCCTAATGAGCCTGGTTCAGAATGGGAACCCAGAATGAGGTTCTTTGCCTATTAAGCTGAGTGTAGGCTCATTATGCTTCATTCATTCATTCATATTAAATTTCTATACCATGCTTCATCCGAGGATCACAGGGCACTTAACACAAAAATACACTACATAGTAATAAACACGATACACACACACACACCCCGAGTTTAAAAGGCCATACATTGTTTAATTAGCTGGGGAAAAGAGGAGTGTTTTTGCCTTATATACCATACGATGGTGGGGGTGTTTCAAAGCGGTTTTGAGTACCTATTAACAGGAAGCAGTGAAACTGAAAGAGGACTCCAACGCAGACCCTCCCCCCTCACTGCAATATACTATACCTATCTAGTTGAATTGATGCTTTTGAATTATGGTGCTGGAGGAGACTCTTGAGAGTCCCATGGACTGCAAGAAGATCAAACCTCTCCATTCTGAAGGAAATCAGCCCTGAATGCTCACTGGAAGGACAGATTGTGAAGCTGAGGCTCCAATACTTTGGCCACCTCATGAGAAGAGAAGACTCCCTGGAAAAGACCCTGATGTTGGGAAAGATGGAGGGCACAAGGAGAAGGGGACGACAGAGGACGAGATGGCTGGATAGTGTTCTCGAAGCTACCAGCATGAGTTTGACCAAACTGTGGGAGGCAGTGGAAGACAGAAGTGCCTGGCGTGCTCTGGTCCACGGGGTCACGAAGAGTCGGACACGGATAAACGACTAAACAACGACAACATCTAGTTATCTACCCAGTGCTTTTTTTCTGAAAATAAATAAATGGGGTACTCTGATTTTCTTACTCATATTGAATTAATGCCCCTCAATGAGGCCAAACTTAGATTCACAAAATGTTTAGGGGTATGCGCCCCCTAGAAAAAAGCACTGTATCTATCCGTCAATCACCTATATCTATTTATATCCCACCAGAAAGCTGGGAGTAGCGCTATAAGCTCCGTTTACAGCACAGCTCACTCGAGCACCCGTTTTTTCAAACCAGCAGCAACAGCGTAAGGACGGCGCGGGTGAAGGTGCTCTCGAGCACGTGCAGAGTACCCCGTCTCACGCCGCCACGTTCCCGAGGAAGGACCGTTAAGTCCAAGGAGCCTCACACGCCTGCAGTGTTTTTATTTTGGTTTGTCCTACGAATATACGGCCTGGGGTGGGTGTGGGGAGATGATTATCCACCCCCCAGACAATGCAGCCTTTGCAGCGGCAGGGGAAAGAGAAACAGGCTTCTTCTCCTCTCCGTCCTCCGCAAGGAAAGCGCCTCGGACCCCGCCCACCGAGCCCTTCAGCCGCGCGAAGAGGCGCTTCCGCCAAAGCTTCCCCCGGCGCGCCCCCCCACCTCAGCTTCTTGCACTCCCACCCCCCTTCCCCAAGAGGTTCAGCCCTTACCCGGCTTCCAAAACTTCAGCGGACCGACGGGCGCCGCCATCTTGGGGTGAAAGGTCAAAAGGAGGCGAAGGAGCCCGCTCCGCAGCAGCGCGGCCCCGGGGTGCGCGTCACGTGGCCGGGGAGGGCTTTGCTATTGGATGCGGGGTTGCCATGGTTGCTTTAACTCTCAGGCTCGAGCCACTGCCGCCTCCTTGCCAGCCAGGCTGGCTGCGAAGGGAAGAGCGGGAGCTTTGCTTTTTTGTACGGTGCTACATCATGAACAAATGCAAAGCCTTGCGTGATATTTGCAGTCGGCCCTAATAAAAGCCCTGTCCTGTTGTGCAGTTCTGTATCCAAAATAAAGGACCAGGCGTCTCTGCCGCTTTGCTTCACTTTGCTTTGGTTGCATTCTGTCCGTTGGGAAAACCTAGCGAATTCCAAACGGGCTCTCTGCATCCCATAAGGAGCAAGAGCCGCTTTATTTTGTCCTTTTCAACACCACACCATTTGCGGCGCAGGAGTCCCGTGGCAGGCAGTGAGACTGGCACGCTATGAGCGAGGCACCCAAGACGCTTGCCCTTCTTATTTATAATTATAATAATAATTTTATTATTTATACCCCGCCCTTCTGGCTGGGTTTGCCCAGCCACTCTGGGCGGCTCCCAACAGAATATTCAAAGCACGATCAAACATTAAAAACTGCCCTAAACGGGATTTTTAGAGCCCTGAACCCGTTTCCCTCGCTGGAGGCTTCTCCCAAGCTTCCCACGTTGGCTAAGGATGGAGGGATGGACGGGCGTCCTCTGCATCAATCTGGGTGCGCTGAGTTCAAGTCGCTCCTCCTCGTCCCATGTGCAACCCACGCGCTCCTCACCCGGCACGTCTGAACTGGAAGCTGCGTCCCGTTTGACAGGTCCCTTGGGTCGCAGCCCGAGGCGCCTTCCCTCGCTGGCACCCGGAGGTGGAGAGGAACTGAGTCAGGCTGGGATGGCTGAGGCACGCCACGGGTTTCAGACAAGACCAGGGCGGGATTCAGGTTTGATGAGGCCCTAAGCTACTGAAGGTAATAGAGCCCTTTATATGTCTAGCAGTCCTTTTGTCAACAACAAATTGTTGCTTTTTTGTGTTGAATATATGCTATATGGTAATTTATGATTCTAATAGGTATCTAAAGCCATTTGCACGTAACAAAATACATATTTCATCAAAGCTTGCTTTTTATCTTACATTTTGGAAATGTACATCAAGTATTTTTTCCCTTTAAATTTTTTTTTGGGGGGGGCAAGAGAGTGGGGCCCTAAGCTACAGCTTGTTTAACTTATACGTAAATCTGGCACTGGACAAGACAGAGGGGTTGGGCAACACAAGCTCACTGTTCGAGGAAAGTGCTTTATCTGCAGTCAAGTCCATTGATCCATCAAGATTAGTATCACCGACCCTGGCTGGCAACGGCCCTCTAGGGTAAGGTTGCCAGATTTTTTTCAATGAATTCGGGGACACTTTTAAACTTGGATTTTGTATGGGGACTGATGTGTAAATCCGGGGACTGTCCCCAGGAAACGGGGACGTCTGGCAACATTACTCTAGGGTTTCAGCCAGGGACATGCCCTACCAGAAGATGCCAAGATTCGAACCTGGGGCTTTCTGCAGGAATGGTGGATGCTGCTGCAGTAAGGCCCTTCCCCCAGGCAGATGCGCTCAATAAGAGGTCCTTCTTGCAGTTGTGGGAATCAGAAATGGTGCTGTTACAACTGGTCCTGTGTGGCCAAGTTCGCACAAGGTGACGTTCAATCAGGGCTTCTTTTTTTCAGCTGGAGCTCAGCTCCAGCTCCAAGTTCACAGTGAGCTCCATCACATCTTTTTCTAGAAAAAAAACCACTGGGGGCAACTTGTTCCTGGATGCAGCTGTTTAGACAACACGAAGGGGATAACTGTACTTTTCTCAAAAGAGAACATCTCCCAGCATGTGTAAAGCAAGCAAACATAGCAGAGGCCACTCTAGAATTGTTCACTGTAATATAAGGGCCATTAAATTCAGCATTCTGTTCTCACCAAGTAGGGCTTCATAAAAAAATAAAGTGCAACAGGATTGCTCCAGCTATGTATATGGGGGAGTGGTTTCAAACAGTTTCCCAGATTCTTACATTGCAAGCAACCACACCTCTGTTACTTCCGCTGTGAATCAGGCATAAACTCACTACAAAATGAAAGGGTAGTTAAAAAGGGCATTAACCAACATCCACTCATCTCTGCAGCTTTCAACACTGAAATTTCATCTGAGAAGAGCAGATAGAAAGAGCAACCAGAATATGACATGCAGATTTGGAACTAGCATAAGTCTAGCCTCCATTCACCTCTAACTAATAACTTACTATATTTTGGGGTTGCCTGTTCTCTAAGAATGTGGTCACCAAGCTATCATAGCCAAATTTTGCATAATGCTTCCTGAGATCAAGGAGATTTATCTATGTTTAGATATAGTTGAATGCCATTTTGAATCAAGATAGCAGACAACCTTTCAAACCTGAATTGTTGTTGTTGTTGTTTTGCTTTCTTAGAATTCCCAAGCAACACTTCACACTAATAATAAACCAGAATGTGCTTAGTTTGCAACAACTCCTGTTACTAAAAATGCAATTCACTTTTCCTTATTTATTCTCTAAAAGCTAGAATTTTGCTGCCAAACCCTCTGCATTCCGTTCCAGTCAAATAAATGTGTTGCAGTGTTCAGCTGGTTGTTCATTCAGTCAATTGCACTGGGCTCCATTTAGGAAATGCACTGTCATCAATCAATGGTGTTCACTTATAGACAAGAAATAAAACAGTGCAATCCTATTGCTCGTGACTCAGAAGTCATACTAGGTCAATGAGACTTCGTCTCAAGCGTTTATGTATGCATAGGATTGCAGGCATGAATAGGATTACAGCCGAAGGCTAATGGAAAAGAATGTTCTAAGTTATTGGCATTTGAAAGGCAAACAAGATGTATCATGTCTCTCAGAACTAGTTACCACACAGCACTATCCAGGGGTCTTAATTTTCTGTTTGTTATGTGTTGCTTATAAGAGCTGGGAAAGATGGCCCTAGATCTAGTGGAGGAATACTAATGCGGTAGAACAATAGGTACCATTTTTGAGAGAGAAACTGCATTCTGTGTGCTGCAATACCACAGCAGTACAGAATCCTGCAGAATGTGTTGGGGGCAGTGGATAATTCAGCTTGTTGAGAATTGCAAGCTTCTAGCCCTTGTGCATGCAGAAATATGTTTGCAGCATGTGTACACTGCCTGCTGAGATCTCAAACGAAAGGCTTAAACTAAAGAACCAGGCAGAGGGCCTTTTCGGTAGGGGCGCCTGCCCTGTGGAACGCCCATCAGATGTCAGATGTCAAGGAAATAAACAACTACCTGACTTTCAGAAGACATCTGAAGGCAGCCCTTTTTAGGGAAGTTTTTAATGTTCGATGTTTTATTGTGTTTTTAATATCCTGTTGGAAGCCGCCCAGGGTGGCTGGGAAGGCCTGGCCAGATGGCGGAGTATAAGTAATAAATAATAATTTTTTATTATTATTATTATTATTGTTGTTGTTGTTGTTGTTGTTGTTGTTGTTGTAGAATAAGATTTCCAGGGGACCAGTGTCCCATGAGAGTTTAAGGTCTTCTCCTTAGCAAGCAGTGCCCAGTTTATTGTTATCAATAAAACATATATCCCACCCTTTCTCCAAAGAAGCCCAGGCCAGCATGTGAGAAAACACAGTAAGAAAATGTGTCAGTTGGCATACTTTAAATAAAAGTAACACTAAATTCTGGGCTGAGAATTTGTAGTCTCTTGGCAGAGATTATGTTGGGGGTTATTTTGGTGACTGAGTGTGCAATCCCAATCATGTTTACACAGAAGGAAATCTCACTGAATGCAGTGGGGCTTACCGCCAGGTAAGCAAGTTTAGGATTGCAGCCTTATTCTTTTGGAAATATAGAGTGTAAACAGTCCCCATTGTGTCCTATATTGTAAGGAAAGCAAAACTGTCAGAGACCCAAAAGCCTCTTTCACCAGAGATAGCTTTCAAGCCTCTACTACCCGTAGCTGTTCTCTCCCAAAGTGCAGGTACTGCCACACAAAAAGATCGATTTCTGACAAGTGCAGAACAGATGTTATACTTACTCATCAAAGAAGCTGGATGTACTGGATATACATACAGATGTGAGCAGATCCCCTTAGAAACAAAGGACATATGGATTTCAAAGTTGCCTCTTTGCATTATCTGGATGGCCTTGTTCAGTGCATTTTTGAACAAAGTAAAATCTGCACAAAGTAATATTAAATTGAGCCACATCAGACTTTGCTTTCTTCTTTATTCTGAATTAATTACCCTTGTGGACTGAATAATAAGCTTGGATCTGCATTTAAGTTGTTCAAGTCACTTGGTCCTGAACTGACCCACCTCAAATGGCTATTAGGGGGAAAATGAAACATGAAGACATTTTGGAGTCAAAGTTGCAATCCTTAAGCACACTTATGTTCAAGTAGAATATAAACTGATGTTTGGTTTGACACTATATTACCTTTAAAAAATCCTCTAACTTGGGAAAGATGTGTTTTCTTTTTTGGAAATGTTTTATTTTTCAGAGTCAAATAAGAATTATATACATAAAAGTAGAAGACAATGAAAATAACAAACAACAACTGGGAAATTTGCCCTAAGATATGGGCATAGTTGTTGGAAAAATTACGAGTCACTGAACATTGTCTTTGTCATTGTCTTTTGTTAGCCATCAGGCCATCAACTACAGGGTCATACACTTAAAATATTTTTACATGCTCCTATATTGGGACAAAAAAAAAGGCACTACCGTGGTTTTTAAACAATCAAAACAGCTAATATTTTTGTCCCTTGATAAAACCAAGTTACCCTATGATTTCTTAGACCAAAAAAAGCACTAGAAAGCAACATTTCTAAGGGCAATACAGAATTGACCAAGTGTGAAGGCTGGAGCATTTACAAGTAAGCCACAAAGAGCAACGTGAAGTAGTTTCCATGTGATTGCTACCTTTGTGCCGCAAGGTATAATGTGCATATTGGCTTGGCATTCCAACCCGTTTTTCTCCATGGCACGGCAAAGCCTGAGAAAGGCTTGCAGTATCACAAAGATGGCTGGGCAGCCAAGTTAAAAAAACAACAACAACCAACCCAGCAGCATCCCCTGTATGGCAATTATGTGTGCCAGCTCTCATGATCCCATTTCTCAGAAGCAGTCATTTGATGAATACAGTGCAAAGTCTCTGAGGTTTATAAGGCTTGTGCTGATCCGCTGCCTAGGCTTTAAGTTGCACCTCATTGGGCGGCAGCCTATGTAGTTTTCTGCCACGTTGCCCCTCCTAGACAGCATGGAAACCATGTGATTCAGCTTGGACCGGATGACGGAGTAGTGGAATTCCCTCTCCTTGTTCAGCTTGCGGAAATAGTCGGCCCTGTGGTTGGCGGCATAGTCTATGGACCTCAGGGATGTCAGCGAGCCCGTAGAGCTTGCCCGAGAGCACTGGGAAGACAGCGAAGAAAGCGACCGAGCGCTAGATGAAGTTGAAGTGGCCTTCCTAGTAATGGGAGATACTTCTTTAGATGGCACCCTCTGATCAGGAGATGCTTCTTTGAAGACCACTCTCTGTTCGGGCATCCTTTGATCGGGCACCCTTTGGTTCTGGACCACTTCTGCAGCCTCCCTCTGTTCGGTCTGCGTTGTGGCGGTCTTGTACAAAACGGTCGTCTGAGTGCCCACTATCCTGGATCGAGTAGTGGTCTGGGTTGTGGCTGTTGCCACTGAAATGCTGGTTTGTGTGGCGCAGTTAAAGAGGGTGGTGGCGGGCTTCTCTTCCAATGGCTCGGTCTGAGTTGACTGGCTACTTGTCCCCTTAGGGTTCGCTAGGACCTCAGGGCCATTGTGCCACTCCTCATCGCCACTAAGGTGAGGGCGCTTCGCGGTCACCCTTCCACTTTGGAGTTCTCTCGCCAGCTCCAGTTCTCTCTCAAGCTTCTTTGGGCTGCTTGAGAGCCTGGCAAACTCCGCTCTCAGGAGGTTATGCACAGTGAAGTCTTTGCACGGTGTTGCTTTACTGCTCATGTGCTCAGAGGCATCGCTGTTCCTGTAGCTGGATGGATTCTTCGGGTCAAGAGGTTTCGATCGTGCGTACAAGATGCGGAACTCCAGATCAAAGTGTTCAACCACTTGGCCGGAGAGTAGCAATACATTGCTGCTGTTTAGTTTCCCATCAGTCCACGTGAAGCTACCAGGGGTTGGGGGAGGAGAAAGAGAAGAAGAGTATTATGCTATGCATAACTGTTCATTTAAAAAAAATGTTTTATGGCTGACAAATGGACATAGCAATGCAAATTGGCTGGGGGGTTGGAATCCAATGTGAAGTTCTCTGATGACTGGTTACCTTTTCTTCATTAACTCCAGGGGAAACTAGACCATCTACTCCTCACATTCTCTCACAGCATCAATCTGGTTGTGGTATCTGTTCTGGTACTCAGTCCCTACTTAGCGATTACTTCCGAGTCCAGCCTTTTGCAATGTACATGTGTTTTTGCCTGTGGTAGAGCTTGTTCTTTCAACATGGAACACATGTTCTATGTTTGTTTGTTTCAACCTTTTTATTTACTTATTTCATTCTGTAGCATTTACATGTTTCTCTTGCATTTGTACTGCAGCGTGATAAAATCCCAATAAAAATATCCAGTGCTTTTTTCTTTAAAAAATGTTCAGCGGTACTCTCATTTTCTTACTCATATTGAAATACTCAGTTAGGCCAGACCTAGATTCACAAAATGTTTAGGGGTATGCGTACCCCTGCATCCTCCCAGGAAAAAAGCACTGAAAATAAAATATTATTTAAAACATTGTTTCATGGCCTCTTCTTGTTGGTATTAAGTAGGTAAGACTGAACTGCTCCCCCTTGTGAGACAGAACAAGAATTCATTCCCATTTAAATACACATTTGCTACTTCTTTTTCTCTCCACAACCCCCACCCCCTCAGTAGAACTTTGGTGCCTTTTTACAGCTTGGCAAGCAGAAATTCAACAGCTGCTGCTTGGACAGTCTGAAAGGCCATATGTCACTTCTGCATAATGAATATACATAAAGTACATTCCATATTGCCATGTCTGCATATAAATACAAATCAGAAGTGAAGGGAACTAAAAGCAGCTCAAGAAGACTAATCAATCTCCCCCTGGCCCTTCCTCCTGCCCCGCTTCAGGTGAGATAAAGCCTTTGTCAATTTCTTAAAGGGTCTGCTAGTCAAGGGGGCATGTTTGTACCAGGGAAATGGTGCTTCAAGCATAGGCGATGGGTATTTGTCTGTTGAGGCTATCGCAGACTTCCCATCAGACTACACTCTATAGAAGACTCTCGGGTTTGTTAAAGAAATACGAAAGGTATCAGGTAGCTTACCTGTAAGAGCCTGTAGTCACTCTTACACCATCAACCAACATGAACTTCTCATGGACACTCCCAATTATCTTGGCTCCTGATCTTGCATAATAAGTGTTTCCAGTAATAGTTCGGACTCTCATCAGCTGTTAAAAAATGGCACACAGTTTAGGCCAAAATGCCAAGCTCTCTTCAAGCCAGAACTGTATCCTTGTAATGGGCCTGCAGCAAACTAGTTGAGATTTACCACCGCCCCATGCATAGTTCCCATCCTGGCTGGCACAAGGTCTCCAGCCACAGTTTGGATTGGTCTCTTAACTGGGATGTATCAAGGGAACCTCACTTCTGGGTAAAGGGTTTGGCATCCAAATGCATTAGACAATGAAAGGGAAAAGCAGCTTTGAGCATGAGACTTTCTCCCTCTCTTGAATAATGGCTTGAGGTAAATCCAAGATCAATCTGTTTTCCACTTGTAAAATCAGAAGCACCCCACAACTTACATGCTCCTGTTCAGGAGAAAAATCCAGGTTTTTGCACATCTCCATAAAATGACAAAGGCAGGCCTGATCCAGGAGGATGTAGACGGGAACCAGCCTCTTTCTACAGGCTTCCCGGAGATCACTGAAGATGTCCATGTCTGTGAAGGAGTCCATAACTATAGCGATAACCTGGAAGATTTTAAAGTAAGAAAAAATGAATTATAAGAAGTTATGTGCAGAAGCTTATCTTGTAACACGCTTTTGGTCAAGGGAGGGGATGTTGTTGGACTCCAACTCCCATCAGCCCCAACTAGTGTGGCCAATGGTCTGTCGATGGGCATTGTCGTCTAACAACATCTGGAGGGCACCCCAGTGGATGCCATCCAGACCTAGCAACTTGTTACTTTTAAATTTTCTTGCATAGCATTAGAACAAGGGTGGGAAACCTGTGACACCCCCCCCCACCAGTGTTTTCCTATTCCAACTCCCATTGGGTCTAGCCAATGTCAAACATGATGGGAGCTATAGGGGAATGAGACCTTTTTCCACCTGCCTTGCCCTAGCCTCCAGCCTTAGGAGCCTTCAGAATAGAGTTGCTGCCACGGGCCTTATGTTCATGTGTCTTTTGATCAACTGAGTGGAAGACTATGAGTCATGGGGGTGGGGGGAGTGTTTCTGTGAAATCAACCGTGCTTAGTTGGTTTTTGGTTTGTTAATGTTATTTTGTGGATCACGGGTGCTATAACGCTTTGTGAATCTTAGAATAGGACTTCCGCTGTGGTTCTGCTGTTTAGCTTTTTCCTTTTAGTTGTTTTGTTAATAGTGTTTTATAGAAGGTGGTTGTTTTACTGGTGATTTGGAATTCTTTTACTAAGGATTTGTTAATTATTTTATATCTGTGGTTCCCAATGTGGGGCACACATCCCACAGGAGGGCAATTTGATTTTTAAGGTGGGCAATTTGAGAATGAGTTATTAGCAGTGAATGGCCTTTGAGGCTTCCTCCATGTGAATAGTTCACTTTTTGAATAATAAGAATTATACATCATGGGGGGGGGGGCGGATCAGGATTTTAGAGATGCTTAGGTGGGGCATGGCCAAAAAAAAAGGTTGGGAACCACTGTTCTATATGAAATATGTTGTAATTGTTCTGTTCTTGTTATTCATTGTTTGTAAGCTGCTTTGTCATTTGTGTTAGTGAAAATCGGCATGGAAATATAACAAATGGGCGGATGAAATAAGCAACATCTGGAGGGGCACCACTCCTGGCATAGGTATCTGTTCTCATATCCCAGGGGGTATACAACGATCCCTCTACCACCAGCACCACCATCAAGTCTACTGAGGAGCCTGCATTTCTGTGGTTTTCCCTGAATCAAGGCGTTCTGCTGTTAATCTCATGCCATGGCCTGAAGAGAAACTGTGGCAGAGTCAACTATCAGTCAACATTTTCCTCCACTCCCTTCCTCCCAGGCAGAGGCTGGGCCATGTACTGGCTTGCTGCAGGTGTTTGTTAGGAAGGCCAACACAGCTTATTAAAAGGATTTGGCGTTTCAGATAGCAAAGCCAAGTCTACAAGGTACACGTGACTTCTACCATGTTTTTTCCCCCTCTCTAAACGCTTCATAAGCGTTGAGGAAGGGCCAAAAACAGGCAAAACCTTGTGTTAGCATTGCATAGGAATCTCAGGTATTGTCAGGTGCTGGGAGGAAACAGTGAAGTGTGCCAGAGATTTTTCAAGCACTGCGTTAGGAAGGAAGAAAAATAACATTCTTCCTCTTGAACTGGAGAGCCCACTTGTAAAACAGAAATCAGGACTTGCCTATAGGGGTGTTGCAAGGACAAAGAGGCAACATTTTCAAAGTTCTAATTGAAACCTATTAAATTGTAGCCCGCAATGCTAGCCCTACCAAAATAATTATTGTCATTATTTTGTATTAACCCACCCTTCACCCCAAAGTCTCAGGGTGGGTTACAACAGGCATAGGCAAACTCGGCCCTCCAGATGTTTTAGAACTACAACTCCCATCATCCCTAGCTAACAGGACCAGTGGTCAGGAATGATGGAAGTTGTAGTTCCAAAACATCTGGAGGGCCGAGTTTGCCTATGCCTGGGTTACAACATCAAAGCACAATGTTAAGCACAGTTTAAAACAATCTACAGTCACAGAAATAAGGAAAGTAAAAAATGTACACCTGTGTCAAAAGCCAGGGTAAGAGGTGCATATTCAGCATTCACCAGAAGCTGTACCGTGATGGTGCCAGACACACCTCTGTAGGGAGGGAGTAGCTTAGGGGCCACCACAAAGAATGCCCTGTCGCCCAGGCATCTTCATTGGTTACAAGTGCCTAATAACCCGGGAGCAAAATGTGCCTGACACCTGGGAATTTTTGAACACTGGCACCAAATGGCTCAAGGATAATGGATATGAATTCTGAAATACGTATATATCTCACAAACTAATGTATATATATTTTTTTCACATTGCTTGTTTTCGTCAAAGCACAAAGAAACAGTATTTGTTGACACATGGAGATAACTAGGATTCCTATGAATGTGTGGGTTTAGCTTTGAAATATGACTGGCTGTTAGAAAACAATCGTGTGTTTTCGAGTAATCACACATTCAGTCTAAAAACTGTAATAAGATCTTCATTAAGCTTCTTTATCTATGGAACCATATGACAAATTTGCCAGTGAGACAAGACCTTACTCTTTGGGTTACTAGACAAAAATAGGCAAAATTAGTTAATGAATTCTAGATGTTCTGCCTCTTCGGGGTCAAACACAGGTGGTCAAACACAGATCAGAGGACAGTTTTTCAGTATTAGCCTTTGGGCATGAAACAAGACTTATGTGCCACATTTTTGGAAAGTTGACTTTTTTTATTTTCACGTAAGATTAAACTAAATCATACATACCAAAACATGTACAAGTCACAACACAAAGAAAATAACTAAACGAATGAACCCAATATAAAAACAAAATAAGCAGGTTATAACAAAACTATCAGTGAGGGGAAACTTAATACAATGCCACACCTTTAAGATGTTACCAAGTAAAAAAAAAAAGCCAAGGGACAAAGCATTTAATAATCTATGTGCTTGCAGAGTTGAGAAAGGATCTGTCTCTTCCTAAAGAAAGCTATTACAACATATGAGAAAACCTAGTATCATAACCAAATCCTCTTGAATGCTACTGGTGGCGCTTGCCCATGTTCCGTCTTGTTGGTGCAATCTATGGAACCAAACCGCACTGCAACTAACATTTCTTTTACTGTGACCTCTTATGACTCTGAATTTGTATTTCCTAGGAGTGCTTTTTCTCAGACCACATGATGTCGATATTCTGTGTTAGCCTCACACAAATCTTTCCAGAGCCTTGCAGCTGTCAGCAAAAGGCTGATTAATTCTTTATTTTTCCAATCTTTTTTGCCATCTGACCACAGGTTCAACAATTGCAGTTGCAAGGATGGCGCAATATTCTGACTATTGCCTCCATTTCTTTAAATACCCAACACCAGAAAACTTGATTTGGGGGGCAAGTTCTAGGCAGCCTTACTCAGGAATGTACATACAGCTTACTCAGGAATGTACATACAATCTGTTCACGTTGACTCAAGAACTAGTGGCAGCTAAGTCCATTGCCAAGACAGGAGGAAATTTGTGGCTTTGGGGTGTTTCTGACAGCGCAGTCACTGAATGGAAGTCCCAAGGCTAAATCAAAAGCGCAAATGTTGACTCACCTGTCACCAAGCAATATAAAACTGTTTCTATTTAATTAGTGTCATCTCCCTCACTCTTTAATTATATTTCATTTGATTACTTTAAACCCTTCCCTCTGGTTGGACCGTGAATGACCTCAAGATAAAAGCCTCCCTACATGAGTTAAGATTGCATGGTCCTCTATTCCACACACCTCAATCCTTGCAATTAATGTCATCAAACAGAAGCTTCTATAGAGTTTCCGCCATACTAGTTGCCTGACTTGTAATGTGTTCTTGATCAGCAAAGACTTCACACCCTCCTCCAGTCACCGAAACCACACAGTTTCATCCTCCCCAAACTGCTCCTCGCCATGTCATTTTCCACAAAACCCAACTTCAGGACTATGGGGGGCACCCGCAAGCAGTCCCATTTCTTGAGGAAAGGATATCGAGTCTCCGTTTATGGGAATGAGTTATTCCGGATTCAGAGCTCTAAAAGGAAAAAGGCTGCCCACTTTCCACTGTTAGGTACTAGAAAGAAAAATGTCTGATCTGCACAGACAGCAGAATGAAGTCCAGAGGTGGTAGACAAGCAGATTACAAGCAGGAGAACCTTTTTTAAAAAAATATTCCACATTAAAAACAGAACTCCCTGCTGAAAGGGGAAGGGTCCTAGCTGATCTTCTGTTCTGCAAGTTTTCTACTTGCAGGGAAATGTTGTTTAGTTTTCCGCTCTGGTCAGTGACTGAAATAAATGGATTCATTCGTGTTTAGTTTTAAGTGCTAGAAACATTCAGGAATGCTATCTCTCATCTTAAAAGTTCACCTCCTTCCACTTACATCCGCCTGGACCATAAGGTCTTTGTCAAAAGCTCTTCTTGAGGTGCCCCTGCCTAAAGAGATGCCTTTTTGGTGGTGGCACCCCTGTTATGGAATGCCCTCCCCCAAGAGGCTCACGTGGTACTTACTGTACATAAGATATTTTCAGAACGAGGGGAATAACTTTCTCGTTTCTCGTGCCTTTTAGAACCATGCTTTAGTACTATATATACAATACGATATACGATATCTTTATTGTCATTGTCCCATGCAGAACAATGAAATTGAAAAACTACATAAAACATTCAAAAACCCCTAAAAACTCTGAAACCCCATTTTAAAATACACTATACTATAGAGACCCCTTATGCTGCGTTTAGAACCAGAATTGCATTTGCTTGGAACAAGATAATTCTAATTTTTTACTTTCTTTGAATTTTTGTAAGACCCACAACGATGACACGTGTTAATGGGGTGGTTAAAAAGATACACGAAATAGGTGGCTCGATCTACTCTCAATACCTCAAGTTTCACTCCACTACATGTCAGGTTCTAATCAAAGCATCAAATACCAACATTCTAAAGAAGGGGTGGAGAATCGTTTGGGCCCAGTGGACCAGATCATCCTCTGTCCTCACCCTATGGGCCAATTTTGGCAAGCAGGTGGGGCAACTCACCTGTCAATCACCTGGTGTCATTGAGACACGTGCCAGGCCAAAGTTGGGATGGAGCTTCACTGATCACCTGAACAATGGGAAGAAGCTGTGGAGGTCCAGAAAAAATATGACCTTCACGAACACTCTCTCCTCAATCTCAGGGCTATTTCTCCTGTTTTCTCTTCCTCAGCTGGTTAACTCTTCCCAACCCCGTAATTTCAATTATGATAAGCCTCATGCTGCTATTGAGCTTTTTCTAAGCTTAATAGCAGAAAGAGTGTGTGTGGAATTTCCATTAGGATGGTGGGAGAAGGGGGGAAGATTTAAATATTTCCTCATCCAGTGATACCCATTGTGTTGCTCAGCTGACTAAGGAACACTTGAGTGTGGCGAAAAGGAGGCTGAACTGCAGAGTGTGGGGGGGTGGAGATACCATTTTTTTTCTGGAACCCCGTCCCTTCTTCCCATTGCTCTGCTGATCGATGGGGGAAATGTTGTGCGCCACATAACATTAGGCAATGTGCTAGAAGCATCTTGCAGGGATGCAGATTGCACACGTCTGAACTGCAGGGGGGGGAATACACGTTTCTGGGAGGCTATGCATACTGATAATGTGTATATTGCCTGGAGAATGTACAAAATGCCGTTGAGATATGCATCATTCTCCAAGGCCTGTTTGGCAATTGTGCATCATGGCTAGAGAATGAGCATACTTCCTTCTTCATGGATGGATGATGTGCACATTCTCCATGATGCCTGGTGAATGTGCACAATGGTCAGTGGCTGTGCACATCATCCATTCAACTTGCAGTTCTCCTAACATATCTGTTTCTCTGTCTTCCTCTTCTAGCTAATCCATTCTGATCTCCCTCCACTCAAAGGTTTCAGTCACTCTGCACTGAGTTAATAATGTAGGACTGGATTTGGGGTTCCTCCTCTTAGAGATTTTTTCCTGAAGATCCTTTTTTCTAGTTATGCATGCTTTTCTAGCTACGCACAGTCTACTGCTACCACTCTCTCATGCATGGTATGGTTTTGGGGTATGTAAGAACAAGCAGAAGACTTGGTACATGGATGTATTAATATTGCCTGCAAATATGGAGGTTCTATTTACCTAACAGTCATTGCCAGATCCACATTCTTAAAAAGGGATCTGGTCTTGTGATCTTTGAGCTGGCAATACCCCAAAGCCAATTACAGACGCTTCAGGTTACATACTCTGCTAACCCAGAAATAGTACCTTGGGTTAAGAACTTTGCTTCAGGATGAGAACAGAAATCACACGGCAGCAGTGGGAGGCCCCATTAGCTAAAGTGGTACCTCAGGTTAAGAACAGTTTCAGGTTAAGAACAGATCTCCAGAACAAATTAACTTCTTAACTCAAGGTGCCACTGTATGTATTAACCATAGGGATCAAGCATAAATGAATTACATGGACAATCAATTTCTCTGACTCATTTATATAGCATTTTGGTAAGTATTTTATTTACTGCATTTCAAAGACATAATCCCATCCTTCAACACACATCCACTCTGTGTAGACAACATGTCCCATCCCCCCAAAAAGGCTGAGAGAGCACACACAGAAATCAAATGGCAGTTATAGTTTCTTCCCATCTCCTGTGTATGCATCACAAGAGTGTCACTTAATAGCTCTTTCTTGCCTGGCATTTCAGGAACTTTAATCGCTTGTTTATTTCTCTTTATCTGAGGGTGCATCACCCTTTTGAAAAATCATTGCACTCTTCTCATGGCAAAGGAAAAAAGGAAAACAAGATCTGCATCTGATCCTGTTTAAAGACAGCTGGATTATAAAGGTCACCTGGAGGCACTGCAGAACAGGCATGGAGCCAGCATCTGAACTAGACATTTATTTTACATTTTAAAAGAATTAAAAAACCCTAGAGCAGTTTATACTGTGCCTCTTCAGTGTATGACAGCTGCAGCCACATATTTCATATTTAACAGTGCACAAATGTAGGATGCAGCTAAAAGTTGCAGCATGGAATGCTGCTATTCAGAGTTCCAGTTAGCCAGGGCCAGGTTTTCCACCCCACCTCCAACCCCTGCCCCCCCCCCCCAAAAAAAATCAGTTAGCACTGCAAGACCACTAAGCATGTTTAGTCCTTATTGGGTGGGGGGCGGTCTCCTTAAGGTTTTCGTGATTCTGCCAATATTCCCAAAAGTCTGCTGATACCACCTTCTTGTACATGCATGGCGGTGCTATTCTACCTAGCTGTATGTATATAGGATTTTGATCAATGCAGAGGTTTTCCAGGAAAAACGTGTTAAACACCTGCTTCTCTGGCCACCCTCCAAGCTATGCAACCGCAAGCAGCGAAATTAACAGAACAGCCCCACTTGTTCATACCAGAGACCTCTCTAGCCCTGCACCCTGTTTCCCACAGTGACAAGTGAAACACCTACAGGAAGTCCACAAGCAGGAGACAAGTGCAAGAAGCACCCTGTCACCATTGTTCTCTAGCGACTGGAATTCAGGGGCATGCTGCCTTCAACTGCAGAGGCAGCATATCGCTACTGTGATCGACAGCCTTATTCTGCATTGACTAGTCGAGTCCTTCTTTAAAGACACCCAAGTTGGCAGCCATCACCATCTTGTGGTACCGAATTCTGTAGTTTAACTATGCACTAGTTGTACTTCCTTTGGTCAATTCCCACTTTCTTGCCATTCAGTTTCTTTGGATGACCCCAAGTTCTAGAGCAGGTGTGAGGAAGCTCTAGCCCTCCATAAGTTGTCGTTGGTCACACTTGTTAGGGCTGATGGGATTTATAGGTCAGCAACATCTGGAGGGTCGTAGGTTCCGAAATGTTTCCCAACAGGGTTTCCCAAACTTAGGCCTCCAGTTGGTTTTGGACTACAACTCCCATCATCCCTAGCTAGCAGGATTAGTGGGCAGGGATGATGAGAACTGTAGTCTAAAAAAACAGTTGATTTTTTGGGAAGGCCTGTTCTAGAGTTACAAGACAGTGATGCTACTTTGTGGCTTTACCAAGAGGAACACAGGAGATCAAGTGATAATTAGTGCTGCGCTGCACCTGACATATTTACAAGGCAGTACAGAGACTATGCAGCTTCAGAGGTTGGAGTAAATAACACCTTTTCACCAAACAGTCTACTGTATTTCTACTTTTAAACAGCGGGGTGCTACTTCTGATCAATTTAGGACAAAGTTCCCAAAGTACAGTGTGCATTACATGGCAAATCAGTGGGTGTTGCTTCCTTCATGGCTAAACCACGTCACGTGCCTTCACGAGTTAACATTGCGACGGCAATGTTAACGATGATGGTATTCCACCAACTTTAAGAGGCTAGTAGAGCAGGGGTTAAACCAATTTTCTCTCAGAACCCCTAAGGGCCAAATAGCATTGCATAAGATACTATAACCATCAGTTACAATGGATACATTTCCACAAACCAAGTTGTGTATTATGGATATTTAATTGTGCACAATAAGCAGAAACCGCTTAGAAATCACCTGTAATTGATGTAGAACCACACCTATCACAGCCAAAGAAGTTTCAAGAGAAGCTTAGAAGCCTTATCTTACAACGTCAAAGATATCTCCAGTGGCTGGACTTGAGCGAGAAAATTAATTTCTTCTAAACCTAGTATTGGACAACTTATAAATGTCATCAAGCGCCTATTCAGGCTTCTTATACAAGGAACAATCTTAACTGAACACCCTGGTGAGAAGCAATTCAGCAGTCACCCTCTCTGAATGATTCATTCTGAACAGAATTAGCAAAGCAACTAGAGCCTTGAAATCTGTAATGCTAGCGTACCTCTCAAAGTGGCAGGCCGTCAGTTTTAAGGCAATGATGTCACAGAGCCCAGCAGCTGGAAATACTAGTGAAGTGTGTACATCCTGGTATGTACCAATTTCAATCCACCCATTTCTAGGTGGAGCCGCCGTCAATGCTGCAGAAGGCCACAGCAATGGGAAGAACATGCTACACAAGTTAGCAAACTTAACTGGCAGACAACGGATAGCCAGGCCAGAGCACCGCCTGGTAAAGTGGAGACAGCCCACCAGATGCCTCAGAGGCAGTCCAGGAGTCTCAGATGCAGCTGCCGGGCTGCCTCCACCTTCCCTGTCCCCCGTTTCCACCTGGCTGCCTTCAGGTGGTGCAAGGGCTCCTTTGAACTTCTCCCTGGAGGGGAGCACAGCCCCGAACCCCTCAGTGGAAAAGTGTAATGGAGCCTACACATTCCCAGCTGAGCAGCCCCAATCCAGCTCCATACAAACAGGAGCAAGGTCCTGGCTCTCTCAGCTGGGGAGGAGGGGCTTGCACTCCCCAGCTGAGCAGCCATCCCGCTCAGACTTGTGTGCAAGCAAGAGCAGGGTTGGGGATCTGATGTTGGAAATTCCATTCCACCCTTGCTGGAGATATGTGGGGTTGTTACATGTCACATGTCTGTTTACATTCCAGCACAGATTGCTGGAGTCCTGTGAGCGGAACATCCACTCTGTATTGCTTTTATTCCCTGTGTCTCTGAGAAGAAAGACAAGGAGAGAGGCCATGTTTTTCTTTGTCCTGATTTATGTATAATAAATGTGTAGTTTAGTATAGTATTCACACCTCAAGCCTGATCTGGCTTGTGTGTTTACTCTGCAGAGTAATGTGTGCTCTTGCATGCACAGCAGCTTGAGTCGCAGACGCACATCGAAGGAGGATGACTGATGGATCTCTGCTGTGGCAAGGCTGAGAAGGGAGACACTCCGGCTGGGCCAAGCCAGCTGGCTTTGCATCCCATGGTTCCGACATCTCAGCTGAGAAGTGGGGAATCGGGGCTCGCTCAGTTGGTTGCAGGAGTCTTTCCTCCCCACAGCTGAGCAGCACCTTGGCTCCCACCGTGAGAGCTGAGGCAGTTTCTCCCAACGCCTCGCCAGCTGGGGCCAATGTAGCTTGTTTCAACATAGCGGTTTATTGCCAAACTGCAATGTTTTGCTGGCGATCTATCGCAATGTTGAAAACTTAATATTGCCCACCCCTAGCAGGGAGGTTAGACTACATCTGTTATTTACTGAACATTCTTTCCAATTTATTTGCAGGGAGGTTGTCCCATGCTGGGTCAAGCAAATGTTATTCCACACTTCCCAGTGCCTTTTTTGTAGGGTGGAAAGTTGCTTCTTTGCACAAGAGCTCAAAAAAACCTCTAACTTTAATTGCACAACTGGAGCTGGCCAGTATGCAACTGAATCCCACCTGCAAAATAGTGACAGTCTAGCAGTGCCCCAAGACTGAGCAATGGTAGCTAGATGGAAACACAGTGTGGCCAGGTAGGCTTCCATGGCACATGCCGCCAGGTGGAATCAATAAGGAAGATGACACAATGTGTCATGGGGAATGAAAATCTAGTCAATCTGCTTACAAGAATGTTGTGAGTTATTGCCGCTACAAATTGCCACAATTATAATCATGCAAATATCCATGGCATTTGAATTACACTATAACTACCCTTTATAAAAAATGGTCATGTACAAAGATGGAGCTAGGTGATGGCATCTTCCATAGTGGCTTCAGACCCCTTCACTTTTGCTTATCCTCCTTTTATTCAGACTTTGTCAGTCTCCAAGAGTGTAAGTACATATTCAAAACATCTGCTCGTCCCACCACTCTTTCCCCGTTTCTGCTCACCTACTATATGGCTCTTTCTCAGAGTAGGTATGTCAGCAGTGTGCAGGAAAAGAAGCAATCATCCACCTAACAGCTCGCTGGTTTGCATCACACTGCAGTCATAAATCATGGGAACATACCCAACACGAGAAAATTCACGGCTAATTATTGGCTCTACACAATACTACAGGTACCTCTGCTTCAGTATTCTTAGCTTGGATTGCCACCCAGTACTTCAAAATTAGATCACTAGACCTCTCCCATGTCAAATATAGCCTTGCTGTATGATGCAGGACAACATTGCCAGGTGTCGCTTATTTGCAAAGAGTCTTGATCCAGAACACTGTTTTAATATAGGTTAAAAGACTCCCTGCTGTTGGGAAAGATTTAGGGCACAAGGAGAAGGGGACGACAGAGGACGAGATGGTTGGACAGTGTTCTTGAAGCTACCAGCATGAGTTTGACCAAACTGCGGGAGGCAGTGGAAGACAGGAGTGTCTGGCATGCTTTGGTCAATGGGGTCATGAAGAGTCGGACACGACTAAATAACAACAAAAGACTCCCCTTCAAATCACAAAGCTATTGTCATGTATTGTTGCTGAAAGGGAATGATGAAGGGGGGAAAAGCCAGAGTAGTTGCTATGAGGAGTTGGAGCAACTCCTCTCTTGAGGAAAGATTACAGCAACTGAGATTTTTTAAAGTCAAGAGGGGACCTGATAGAAGTGTATACAATTATGCACAAGGTGGAGAGAATTGATAGAGAGACAGTTTTCTCCCTCTTTCGTAGTACTAGATCTCAAGGACATTAAATGAAGCTGAATATTGGATGATTCAGAACAGAAAAAAGAAAGCACTTCTTCCATAGTCAAACTATGAAGTTTGCTCCCACAAGATGCACTGATGGCCACCAGCTTGGATGACTGTAAAAAGACCAGAGAAATGAATGGAAGATAAGAATCTCAGTGACAACTAACCAAATGTCTACGCTCTTATTTCCACTGTTGGAGGTAGTAATACCAGTTGCTGGGAATCACAAGAGGGAGGGATGGGAAACCAGTAGGCAAGATCCTTGTTTCCTCACCCTGTAGGGCCAAATTCGACTGGTGGGCAGAGCCAACTACTGTCAATCATGTGATGCTGCTTGAAAGCCCTTTTGCAAACAGACTCCACATTGCTCTTCAAACCTTTTTCTGAAAAAAAGTTTAAAGAACAGCACAGGGTTGTTGGCAAAAGGGCTTTCAAATAGCCCCACACTGTGCTTTGGCTGAATGTGTTTGTTCTCAGGAGGGGAATAAGTGTGCAGAGCAAACTGAGCAGGACTGAATCAGCTGGTGAGTGGAGGGTTGAATTCTGCTGGTTGCAGGGGTCTGCATCGACAACATGGTCCCCACAGGAAATGTGGTAGCAAAGCAGATCCCAGCAGGACTGAGTTGCACCCATCAGCTAGTGATTTCAGCTGATGGCATTGTGCCCCACGAACAGCCTGCAGGTCAGAGGTTCCACTTAAAGCCTCAGCTCAAGCATAAGCTCTCACCTTAAGGCAAGCAAGCTCAACTCATAACTGGACTAGTTGACTGGGTTGTAGTCAAGGTAATAAATATCAATGCATCTGAAGTGCTGTGAATGCATGGACAGGAAAACACCAAGGACTCCAAGGAAGACTGGACGTCATACATCAATTCAAAATAACTTCTCTCTTCCATCTTTGCCTTCCATCTAGCACAGTACACTAATTGGTATTGGCCAAATACTCCACCTCATTCCACTTCACAAAATGGATGTGAAATATATAATGATTGACTTGATCACATATGTCCCAAAGCATGTATTTTACAAATAATTTTGTTGGATTTCTAACTTATTCCTCCTAAATTCAGCTGCAATACTGAAATGCACATGGATGAGGAATGAAAGAGAACACTGCTTAATGGTTACACCTAGTTTGAGGTAGTATTAAGGTCGTGCAACATCACTCTGTCATAGCTTTTATCTGGAGATGCATCTCATGCTGGTAATATATATTTTTTAAATGTGCATTACTAAAACTAGAACAAAGCGTGAAAAAAATCCAAGTGCATCAGAGTCATCCTGTTCCAACGGCCAGCACGGGCACCTTCAACTGTCAGTTATGCAGCAGTTCTATGGTACTCATTCATCTATGGCAGTCTCAATTAAAAAGGTGACATATAATCATTTCATGGCCCAAGAGCTACTACCCCTGCCCATGCTGCATAAAAGGACCATTCCAAGACACCTGTTCTATTCAAACTAGGCTGCTGACCATCTCTTATGCAGGCTACACAGCATATATATATATATAGACAAGAGCAAATGAAAGACTGAGAACCACCATTCTAGAGCATTTGGTCCATTCATTGGGGCAGGGGTCTTTGTGTTATCACAGACCCCCTCAGCCCAAAAGATCAAGCAACCAAACAGAAATCAAACAAACTTACTTTGCTCAATGAAAGAGGTGTGGTGCCTATATAAAAAATATTTGTATTAGCTACATTTTGCCCCACCCTCCCCTCCAAAGGGTGTTCGGGGCAGCAGATATGCAATCCAATGTAACAAAACGTTAAATACTCAAAATAGATGCCACTGTGGGGGGAACAAACAGTTCCAGAGGGAAAAATTTATGTGGCAGCCCCTAGCCTGAATGGGAGAAACCCACTGGTTGGACCATAAGCAAGGGTCCCCTGTTATAGAGAGCCTCACTGTGGTATAATGGTTAAAAGCGCTGCTCTAACACCCGGGAGATCCAAGTTCAAATCCCCACTCACGCAGGCCTTGTCTCTCAGTCTACTTCAAAAGGCTGTTGTGAGAACTGAATGGGAAGGAAGAAACTCAGGTTTGTCAGGCCCGAGCTCCTTGGATGAAAGGCTGGTTAAAGCTTCCAGATACCGCGCGAAGGCTTCATATCCACATTCCGGCGCCCTGACATGGTCTAAGGAACCGCTGGGAAGTGTTGAAGAATCTCCGAGGGAATAGGATCGGGGGCAATAGGAATCAGATCAAAAACTGGATTCCCATGCAGCCGCGGCTAATCCAGTCAATCCCCGAAACGGAGCTGCCGCTGCTCCCCCTGGACGGCTCTGACTCACCTCCCTGGCCGACCGGATCTGCTTGCGCACCACCTCCTTGCAGGGGTAAATGGTCTCGCCAAAGCTGGGCTGGAAGTGCGCCTCTACCCGGGTGAGCCCCCGGAAAGAGCCGCCGACGAAGGCCGGCCAGCCCAGCTCCAGCACAGGCGGCTCCACGTCGGACTGCACCGGGAAGTAAGTGAGAGACGAGCAATCCAGAGAGGAGTTGGGGGACTGATCCGAACTCTCGTCCGCGCCCGGCGGAGGCACGGCGGCGCGCAGCACCGCTCGGATCTCGGGCTCGGAGAGGAACGCGCGCAGCTTCTCCCGGCGCAGGAAGGCGTGGAAGGCCGGCCGGCCAGCGGCGATGAGCTCCTCCAGCGCTAGGCGCTGCGCCTCGCTGTAGACCTGCGGCGGGCTGGGGTCCCACAGGGCGCGGAAGCCCCGAAAGGGCGCATCGTCCAGGCACTGCGACTGGTTCGCCATGCGGGCAGTCGGTGCCTCTTTAAAAAAAAACCACGACGCTCTCCCGGGGGACTAAGAGGATGCCAAACACGACGGCGCCTTTTATAGGGAGTTTGAAACTAAACTCGTCCCCGCGCCTCTGCTATTGGCTGCAGGTGCGAAAGCGAGTCTCTGGTTGGCTGCGTTTGAAGACCTTTCGCCAATCGCATGGCGAAGAGGGGGAGGATTTCGGCGGCTGTAGCAGTTTCTGCCTCCCGTAAGTTCTTAGGCGCAACATGTATCCATTCATTTCGCCCGGAGCTTGGGCGCGGTGGGAACTGAGCTCAGACGGGTAACCGCTCCTGCGCTGCGATCAGGTAGGTATAAGGCAAACTGCGGCGTCACCTGGATCACGCCGGAGATGGAGGCTGATAATAATAATAATAATCTCAACCTTTGAGGCTGCGTCCTTGCTTGAGCGCTTTTCTCTATCGGCAAAGCAAGTAGACCGCCAGCCGAGTTGCAGCCGATGTTTACGTTGACCTAAGCCCTGTTTAATTCTATGGGGTTTACTCCCAGGTAAGTAGGGTCAGGACTGCGGCAAATTCACACTGAAAGAGGTTTTGGACAACTTGGAGACAAACATATTACAGCGCAATCCTGTACATGTTTACTCACAAGTAAGCCGCCCTGCCTTCCGTGTGGTTTACCGCCTGGTAAGTATGTGTAGGATTTCTACCTTGGCCGGCAATGAATTTACCAGGGACTAAAGAGCTCCCGTTGCTCCGTCCCTGCTCCTGCCAACCTAGCAGTTCGAAAGCACATCAAAGTGCAAGTAGATAAATAGGTACTGCTCCAGCGGGAAGGTAAATGGCGTTTCCGTGTGCTGCTCTGGTTCGCCAGAAGCGGCTTAGTCATGCTGGCCACATGACCTGGAAGCTGTACGCCGGCTCCCTCGGCCAATAAAGCGAGATGAGCGCTGCAACCCCAGAGTCGGTCACGACTGGACCTAATGGTCAGGGGTACCTTTACCTTTTAAAGACCTCTGAAGGTAGCAGGACTTACTTTTGTGGCATTATGCCACAATATATCTTTAAGGTGCCACAACCCTACCTCCTATCCTTTTCAAGATGTGATGGTTATTATGTGTTTTAATCTGGAGGTTCTGATTTACTTCCCCCAGCTTTAGAAACAGGAGGCTACTTCATACAGTAGTCAGGCCATTTGTCCATCTAGCTCAGTCCAGCAGAGGAGAACCTTTGCTGAACTACAACTCCCATCAGTCCTAGCAAGCATAGCCCTTCGGAGGGGCAAAGGTTCCCCACACCTGCCCAACACTGACCGACAGCTGGGTTCTCCAGGGTTCTCTTCCAGCTCTGCCAGGAGAAAACAGGGATTGATCCTGGGGGCCTTTTGCATGCAGAGCAAATGCTCTACAACTTTGTTCTGCCTTAATTCTTTTTGCATGCAAGATTGTCAATTTTTTTTATTTTTTTTTATTGCTGATGATGGGTGGGTCAGTTTTCATTGCTATACACATTATTTTTTATTGTTTCTTGAAATACCGCCCTATACCCAGAGGTCTCGGGGTGGCTCCAGCAGGACGCTTGGGGATGAACTTGTGTTTGTGGAGGTCTAAGAAGGATCTTCCTTTGCTGTCCATGGTGGACAGAGAAGAAGCTGCTTGTGAAGCACTTCCAATACCATTAGGGGCTGGCTTTGACAGCTTGGATGAGCGTGATCTGACAGTATCACTGCCCTTTGCAGGACCCTGAGACCTTTGCCCTGCAACCATAGAGTATGCATTGCATACACAGGCCCACCCGTTTATTTTTAGCCATCCCACAGAGCAGTGATTGCTGGCAAACGAAGCAGCCTCTTCAGCTCCAGCCTACTGATGGCAATCTGGCAGCACAGGATGGATGCACACTTGCACAAGCCACTTCTGAGTACTTATGCACTAGGCAGAAAGCAAATTCTAATCAAGAGAAGGGCCAAGGCTCTGAGTTCTTCCTGTCTTTCCCAAAGCCATGGAAGGTTATACGTTTCAGCATGTGTGTGTATACACAGGAATGCTCAGAGAGCACGAAGAAAAATAGCGGGCGATGAAAGAATGCTTTCTTTGCTCTCCATGGTATGCTTGCTACAGTCATCCACAGCTGTTCTGTGGGCATCTTTGGCATGGCGCAACTTGTTTTTTTCTGGTCTTTGCTTGTAGCACACACTGATTAGCATGTATAATGCCTTGCTACACGATTGATCTGGAAGGAGAGATCACAGATGTGGAAGATCTTGTTTTAGGACTGGGGTGGCCTTGGACAGAGCATGGGTGGTACAGTTGGATAGGAATTAGAGAGCTTGTGGGCTGTAAGAGCCCCAAATTCTTGTGTACCTCTCATATTTACCTATACATTTGTACCCCACCTTTCCTGTAAGGAGTTCAAGGCTCTCTCCCCCATTCTATTTTATCTTCACAACAACCCTGTGAGGTACTGGTAGGTTGGGCTGAGGAATGGTGACCGGCCAAAGGGTTTGAACCCAGGTCTTTGTCCATCCTCGCTGGGGCTGATGGGAGTTTTGGTCCAAACCATCTGGAGCACACCAGGAACAAAGGCTGTTTTGCAGTTACTTACATTATACCACATGTGCCACTTCGTTTCTCATTTCCCCAGTGTGGCAAGATTGCCTTTGGAGCACTTGCATTCCACCTTGCTTTTCACCATCCTGAATCATCTAGTGTTGCCTGAAAACATGGTCATATTCTGTCATCCCTGACTTCAAATAATTTTATGAGCAAGATAAACAGCACCCATCCAAATAGAGAGCCTTGAGGCCCATGTTGCTTACTTCCCTCTGTTGTGGGGAAAGTCCTGATATCTAATACGTACCACAAAGCCCTTTCCATGTGTTTGATGACACTCTGAAAGAAGTTTAAAAGGACTTCCCTTTTCAGAGGAGAAGCTGGTTCTTGCTCAGCCAGACTTGTTTCTCTATATTACGCTTTTCACCAACATAGCCAAGGCTTATTTCCCAGTTCTCCTCTGTGTTTCTTTTTTAAAATGAAATAAGGCATTATATTGCCTACTTTCACTAATGGGTGATGACCAGCTACATATTTTTGAAAGAGTTCACATTTGAGCCATTTAATAATTCTTAGATGTATCCCATAGATAACCAACGAGCTGGTCTTGAGATGTAGCTGGACTCCAACCTCCCATCAGCCAACATAGCCAATGGTCAGGAATGATGGCAGCTTCAGTACAGCAATTACCTGGGGGGACGGGGACACTAAAATATCCATCCCCACTGTAGAATATCATCTCTTGTCATCTCCAGGTAACTTTGTTCTTCAGGTGCATTTCCCCCAAAATGGATCTGTCCAACACAAGGAAGACAAAAATGACTTTTTAAAAAGAAAATTACATAGGATGCTGCTTCAAGCCACACCACTGGTCCACCTACTTCAGTATTGTTGACACTAAATGGTTGGGACGCTTTCAGGCCAGTCCTACCTAGAGACCCTTGCGTTCAAACCTTGACCCCTGAGCTATGGACCTCCCCAATTACATTCTCTTCCAGTATAATATTTCATTGTAGGGTGTTTAGTAAGTAAACCATGCAGCAGTCTTTAAGACTGCTTGGATCTCAATCCAAGCACGGCTATTTAAATAGGAGTAGAAGCCAGATTAAATGCTAATCTACGTCCCTGACCAGGTTCACAAAAAGCTGCTATGCAGGGGAAGCGGGAACATGTGCCTCAGTGATTTGTATGTGAACTATGCATGACAGCACACTGCCCCCAGCAATAGGTTTAACACTGCTGTTCACATACCAGCAGGGCAGGAAGTGAAGGCAAGCAGATCTGCCAAGGTGTTGGATATGCTTCAGCATGATATTCAGTTGCTTCAAATAAATGCAATACACCAAATTTACCACCAGGTAGAGGTAAATGACAACCAAAGTCACACAAAAGCAAATGCTGTATAGTTTAGGGTTCCCAGATGTCCCCGTTTCCCGGGGACAGTCCCTGGATTTGAAAATAAGTCCCTGGACAAATTCCATCCCCGGAATGTCCCCGGATTTAACCTAACGTCCCTGGGAAATGCAGCAGCGGCAGTCTCAGCAACCTGGAGCAGTTGGCTCTGGCTGGCTTCAGGAGCTGCTCAGAAGTCCCCATATGATGGTGGTGCAGAGACTCTAAGATCAGCTTCTGGGCTGCCTCCGCCTTCCCTGACCCCAGCAACTAAGCTGTGAAGGGAGGCTTCATGCTGCCTATCAGAGCTTGCGTGCAAGCAGGAGGGGGCAGGAATCTCTGTTAGGCATCAGGAAGCCTCCCTTCCCAGCTGAGGGATCCCCACCCCCTCCTGCTTGCATGCAAGTAGGAATGGGATTGGGGCTGCTCCGATGGGAAGAGAGGCATCACGCTGCCTAAGAGATCCCTGCCCCCTCCTGCTTGCACGCAAGTAGGAGTTGGGATGGGGCTGCCCCGAAAGGAAGTGTGAAGCCTCCCTTCCGAGCTGAGGGATCCCCGCCCCCTCCTGCTTGCACGCAAGTAGAAAAGGGATCGGGGCTGCTCCGATGGGAAGGGAGGCATCGTGCTGCCCGAGCCTCGCCGCCACCACTGCTCTTAGCCCACCTTCCCTGCCTGACCCACCGTGCACTGCTTCACCACCACCACCGAAGAACCAACAACTCAGGGGCTGCCCAGGCTCACGGATAAAGGAGATAGAAGCCTCAGAGGAAGGGGAAACGTGGTGATTGAGGTCAAGGCGGCTGCTGCCCCTCTGCCATCGCTGCAGTATCAACGTCCCAAATGTAGTTTATTTGTTTGTTTGTTTGAAGTGTCCCCGGATTCATTGAAAAAAAATCTGGTAACTTTAGTATAGTTGTCCCTGTTGCAACAGCTATGGTACCCCTTTTTCTCATTGTGTGTATAGGTTGCTGGTGTTGCGTTTAATTATTCTTGTTATACCCTGTCCTATCACCAAGGAGCTCACAGCAGCTTCCAAATGGTTCCCGGGTGGTCTCCTATCAACAAACCTCCTTAGCTTCTGCGGTAGAAGTGGGGCATGTGCTTTCATTCTCTGGGCATTGA